CTCCTGTCATAACGCTTAAATATATTATAAAAGTTTGTCACGCCGAATATGACAGATACGTAATAACTAATATCAAATTTTGGCTTGTCACAATATATACTAGTTTGGCGCAGTATTCTAGTATGTTTCCACTCACTTCACCCGCGATGGTCTGACCTATTTATAATATAGGTAATTGTTGTTAACTTTATTTAAATTTCTTTCTACCCGACAGCGAAAATTATAAAAAAAAATTGTCGAGCAAAATTTTACATTACCAAATTTTTACTGGTTATGAAAAAATAACCCCGTGATTGATAAAATGAAAAAAAAAAGTAGCCTGTGATTCGAACCGGCAAACTTACATATTACGGCAAACATACTAGAATACTGCGCCAATCTAGTATTATATATATTGTGACAAGGCAAAATTTGATATTAGTTAATACGTATCTGTCATATTCGGCGTGACAAACTTTTATATTTAAGCGTTATGACAGGAGAAGAAAAATATTGGGTTGCCCAGTAAGTTCGTGCCGCTTTATAAGGAAAATTGAAACCCTGTTCTCTTAAATTTTTGGAAATGTTTTTAAATTATATTGGTACGACTCTATACCTAAAACGTATTTTATTTTTGGCTAAACTTTTAAAAATTAGTTTTTATCTCAACCAATGAAATGAAATTATTTACAATATAGAAATTTTTGTGACGTTTGATAATGGTGGAAATCCGAAAATGAATCCACTTCTGCCACAGTCTATTTTAAGCTTTATATCTAAAATTCGAACGAACTTTCCGGACAACCTATAATGTTAATACAAAGTGTCAAATGAATGTAACAGAAGTAGTTTATTCCAAATTGTATCACAAGTATATAGAGATAGAGTTCAATTTTGTCAAATGTACCGATATTTTTGCGCACCTTGACTGCTTCGTTACTTATGACGCTGTGGCTGCTACGATATTTATGAGCATCTTGCATGTACTCATATATTTGACGCTGTGTATGTACCGATGTATTTGAGCAGGGTGAATGTATCTATTATTTTGAGGACTTTTGTTGTACCGATATAATTGAATACTTTTGGTGTACCTATATATTTGCATATCTTGTCTGTGACGATCTATATGACGCTGACTGTACAACAATAGTTAGGTAATAGCAATTAGTTCATGAACTAATTGCTATTACCTAACTATTGTCTAACCCCCCTGTTTCCATGGAAACAGGGGGGTTAGACGAAGTGTATTCGCTTCGAAGCGATTCCATGTCGCGGGCGGATTTAATAAAAACTTAATGAGTACCCTGTGTTCTTCCAGATTAGGGTCTATATGAATGCCAAATTTCACCCAAATCCGTTCAGCCGTTTTGGAGATACCTCCAAACAAATATCCATCCATCTAAACATTCACATTTATAACATTAGTAAGACAAAAATCAATATTGCACAAAAATATATTTTTACAGAACTATATCTTGAGGTTCTTCAACAAAAGAGCATACTCTTCTGCATAATGGTGACTTCCTACCCTAAACTTATAACATATTGTTATCTCTGTTTTGTCAAAGGTAAAGACAGGGATGATGATACATTTTGCACAGACTGGAAAAACAGCATAAAATATTTAATCAACATGTAAACTTATATTCATCGGTTTAATAAATACAATCTCATCTCTACCAGTATTACAACCCAAGATGTATGGATTGGTACATACAGGGTGTCCCAAAAGGTCACAAGGGTCACCAGAAAAATAAAATAAAAATTCCCCTCTGGGTATTAAAAAAAATAAAGGGCATTTTTTAAAAACTTAAAAATTTTACACCTTCTGGGGCAATTTTGTAACCAATGACCTACAAATATTGCTACATTTTAAAAAAAATGTATTATGTTATCGTCAATAACCCTTTATCATTATGAAATAAAAAAAACAATACAACTAAGAAAGATTTTAAAGAAAATTAAGTTCTTGTCCAGTCAAGAACTAAGTAATTACGATTTCAATCAACTTCCTCTAAGTGTACTGAAAAAAAAGTACTATGCATCTCCCGCAAGTAACTTAAAAAGGTAGGTAATTTTATTACAAGTCCAAAATGGTATAATGCTTAAAAAAATCATACTAGGACATTTAAAAATATTTTTTGCGAATAATACCCCTTCAAAACAAAACATACCAATAAAACAATAGTCTCAAATTCGTACGCATACATTTTTAAATGTCTTTTCTCTTCCTTAAAACTTAAAAAGACAGGTAATTGTATTGCAATTGTTTTAAATGTAACTAAAAAATAAACAAAATTGCAATTATTTATTCAAATAAAATGTTCGAAATGTCTACCACCAACATAAATACACGCCCTGCATCGTTTCAAAAATGAGCGGGAGATATGGCGAGCAAATCTTCTATTATTGATTCCGCTGCCTCTGTGATCCTCGCCCTCAAGTCAGCCATCAATTGGATATTATTTCCCTAAATCATCAATCGGATTTAGGGAAATAATATGGTTTAATCTCTAAAAATAATTAATTTAATGGTAGTGAGCGGAGGCGATATGAATGTTTACCAAACAAGAACTGGTTAGTGTGAATAACCATTCATTCATTCGCGTTACCAACCATGTTATAAAATGTGGTAATTTGCTGATGGTGGGAAAACATGTATGAAGCAGTGTTAACAATGCAGACATAGTAGTCTCAGAAACAACCTGTAAGTGGTTAACCATGAGTTTCCGAAGCCAAATTTTTAATCAAATCTAATATATTTATCCCGTCTATATCTTTGAGAGAGACAATATGTTTTAAATGAAGATTTTCGTCGCAGAAACTCATGATTAGTTAAAGTAATATAACTTTTAAGAAACTAACAGAATTTTCACTGCTAAAACACTTCTATTGCTGCTATTTTAATAATGACAATGTCATCATCAACCTGCCCTTATCCCTATCGAGGGTCGGCACAGTATGTACTACTCCTCCATAAATCTCTATCAGCCGTCATATCCGAGTCTAAAATCTTCCTAGTAGATCTGTCCCTTAAGCTTCATTGGCATTCTTGGATCACACGTTACACTGGTGACCCGTCGCCATTCTTTCACTTCACTTTTTTCACTATCATGAGATCACTTCACCATATTTTGTTTTATATTAGTGCAGGATGGAATATTTCGAAAGAAATTTTACTCCCAGACTACTCTCAGATGTTGTTTATACAACACACCAATTATACAACCACAATTTCAGTATAAGATTTATACATCACCTTAGATCTCAAAGAATCTATATAAACATTAATTCGATATCTGTACGATACTATCTTACCAGCCAACAATGATTACAGAGTAAGTTCATTAGTAAAACTTAATAATCAGTCATAAAAATAATTCCTTTTGATGATTCCTTAAAAACTTTTATATACCTATACATATTCCTCATGATATTGTGATTTCCATTGATTCTCCTTTGCTTATTACATTTTGCACCTTAGTTTATTACCACTTTTGACTTACTTCATGGTTATTCTTGTTTAATTGATTGTTAGATATTCTCCTCATGTTCATCTAATAAAAATGTCAATCGACTTCAGCTTTCTCACATCTGAAGTTCAAATATTTTTATTTTGGAATTTTCTTCATTACTCGAACTAATTTAAAATGATGCAAGATGAAGAGAATTGAAGTCTTACTGTCAGATGCAGAGTTCCAAGAATACATACATCCGTCTTCTTCTAATGCTGACATCTTCTTTTGAAGGTTGGTGATCATTAACACAACTTGCACCCTTGACACTGCAGCTCTGAAAAGTGAATGGGTACTCTTTCTGAATCATTGGCGTAGGTTCTTAAGCCAGGATATTCATATTCAACCTACACTTTTATTTGATCTTTCCTTGAACAATGTGTTGCAGCAGTTCATATTTTGTGTTCCTCATAATGCAGTACTCTAGTTCATCATTCCAGTTATTATGTAATCAAATATATCTCTTTCTCTAATCAATGGTTATATTTTTACCTGCATATGTAAAGGTATCTGAGTTTAGGTTTGTTTGACATAAGATGCAGTGCTTGTTATATTCTTTGCAGATCAAAATACTTTTCATCATGTTTACTGCACCTGGAATACACATTAGAACTAACATAAGTATAATGTTAAACTTATATAGCACTATGTTAACATAATCTATGCCCTATATAAATCAAAATAACTGTCCGGGGAGAAAAATCAGATGACATCACCCTTAACGGTGAAACCCTCAGGCCACATGTTAATGGAATTGACAAAGTTTGTGCATAAGTAGTTTGTTTTTATTTCTTACTTCGACTTATATGATTATACATAGCGACAAAAAAAGAATCCACCTTCAGTTTATCGAGCAGAAGTTGACTTGGTAAAACTTTAGAATTTTTTTAGAACTTTTATATTGACGAGAAAGATGGCAGCTGAAGTGGCCGTTCGGTATTTGTAAGACTTTTGGATTAAAACTACAAAAATAACAGTTTAGGATTCACCTAAGAAGCACTTACCTTTCTAATTTTTTTGCCAAATCTAGTTTTATTGCCGAACTTTTGTGGTCAAAATAGTAACCAAGTTTTGGTGCTCTTTCCTCAGTAGCATGCAGTGTTTTCGGTTTATTGACTTGTCAGGTCACCCCTAAGTTTGATTTACATCGGTATTTTTAAACCGTCGTCTTTTTGTACGATCTTTCTGCGGCCCAATTATAGTCAAAAACTTGTTTAAAATTCTCATTTTTCTTAAAATATTCAGTATGCCGTCAAACAAAAACCTACACAGAATTCAAAAGAAAACAAAACGATATGAAATGGTAATGGTATGAAAATTGAAAAAGCAAAATTGGATGGGTTTCGTTCAATGTTACCATTTCTTAAAAACATAAAGTAAATTGAAACCTAATAAATCTGCATTATTTTTAAATATAGATAATTGTGATGGATATTTTTGGTCTAGCAGATGACATTTTATTACACAATAGTAAAAGAAATCTTAAAAAGTTCCTTGTGGGAGATTTGTGGACCCAGCAGTTGAGGGAGAATAAGCAATAGGTGGAAACCCTGACCAGCGTCAAATTAAAAGTTCTACGCAAAGAGTAAGAAAATACGTCTATTTCGATCTCTTGTATCAAAGAGTATTAAACGTGTTCTTGAAATAAATAATTGTGATGATATCTTTTGCCCTACCGACAGACCAAAATTATAGCGAATGTGTTAGTAAGTATGTATACAAGTATCCATTTCTGTTATTAAGAATGGCTGTAGCTAAAATAGCGAAAACAGATTTAAGAGCGGAAATTTGAAAGGATTCCGTATCCTTCAATGTCATTTAATAAGTAGGTCGGGCATCGATTTAAAATTAATTACAATGATATTTTGTTATAGATCCATGTTTTAACTGTCTTAAACAGCGTAGCGTTTCTAATCGCAACAAATACTCTTGCAGTATATTCTTTTGATTTTTCACCTCAAACAGGTATCCAACATTCAAACTGAAATGAAGTGAAGACGTATACCTTGTTTGGGATTTACGAATAAAATACCCATAACCCCTTTAGTTGGTTAACCAATCACTTCTCCAAATTTGATAATTTATGCAGTTATGAGTGTTTTATTTTCACATAATATTATTTTATGATGGTGTGCCACGGATGCTCTCGAAATTGATACTACTTGCTTTGGTGTTAATAGTAAATACAATATTTTCCTACTAAAAATTAAATGCAAGTACTTATTTTCTACGTTGACCTAGGTCGGAGCTTACTTTAATTTCCTTTTATATTCCACATCTAAGTTACGACCGTCAACCAAGATGATAAGAAGTTATAGTGTAGAGCAACGCACTGTGCCTGTGCTTAGCCAATTTATCGAACGCTAGCTGTCGCCCACGACTCCGTCCGCGCGGCTAAAAAAAAACCTAAGTTAGTAGCCTATGAGTCTTTCCAGATTCTCTTCTACATCGGTGCCAAATTTCATCGTGATCAATTGGACCGGTCTGTAGATACGTTCTAACAAACATCCATTCATACATCCAAACTTTCGCATTTATAATCTTAGTAAGATTTATTTTTTATACTATCTAGCGTTAGCGCCATAGCGCTTGCTTATTTCAACGTGACAAAACACTCTTATTATTGTATCGTGTTCCTCAGCCACCTTAGCTCGCACTTCACACTTCACATCGTTCACATCGCACTGACGTACTGCGCACGGCGTACCGCGCACATCGCGCACACGGCCCTCGTCAGCCGCACGTTTAGTACGTTTTTAAAGGACGTTCGTAGCGCGGTGTATAAATCTGCCGCGAATTGTGATCAACTGCGCTGTGTACTTTGATTATCCATTGTCACTGCGCCAGGTGTGCACGAGTTTAAGCTATAATACCGGCAGTTCAGTTTGCCGCAGTATTGATCGCATCTCGCTCGCTTCAGCTAATGTTTATAAACAGCCGGTCGCATCCATACGATCCCTCTTGTTTTTGATACGTTCGACCGTTTGGAGAAGAGCCGCAGCACTGATCCTGTATGCGCCAACTGTACCGGCATCCCGTATAGGAAGCACTGCAAGTAAGTATGCAATTCTTTTTTTTCCCCCTCATTTAATACGTTACCAAGTACGCTGACAAGTGTGCGAAAACGATAAATATATCTGACGCCTCAGAAATTTTTATCTTGTAATCATTCCTTACTAATTTTATCATGCTGACTAAGTAACTTCGATAAAATTGTTGCAGTTTGTTAAGAACAAAATGTTTTGCATTATTTATAGGAATGGTTTCTTGTTAGAATTTTTATGACTGCAAATGCATGTCGCATTGCTCTAATATTAACGATGTGCTTGCATAAAGTAAGCCGGTCTACATCGAGTTACACAACCGATCACTACGCAAAACAGTTAGAAAATTGATATTGTCGATATGTGTAGTACTGTAGTAGTTTGTATACATTATCGACATTTTTGTTTCTCTATTTAACTTCCTTAAGCTTCCTAACATCTTCCTAACAACTTCATATTTCATTATAAATCTCCTCATTAATTACTTACATGATAATATTAAAGAAGTAATATTATTTTAATTTTAGTGATGGTTAGGGTATAATACTGCAATGGAATGTTTCATTATAAATTTTTTCTAAGATCATTCAATGAGATACCTATTTTTAATTCATTTAAACGCAATTAGTATGTACGACCTTTCAGTAAAAATATACTAATAATAAAAGTTAAAATTATTCATATTTAACATATCTGTTTAAACAAACATGTCGTTAAGAATTAAACATTTTTTTATATCACAAGCTAACACTTATATTGTAGGTAAAACATCGTTACATAAAAAACATCCCGTATGTACATGCCGGATCACTTTTGTTTCGGCGACGTTATTTCCGATAACTTCCTGAGTTCTATGGATGGTCTAGATACAAGCGTCGCTTATTGAGAACGAAGACGTCTGCCTTAGTAGACTATTTCAATCTCGATGTTTCTATTACACCGTAGTATCTTTTATCCATCCTTCATACATAATGTATAAATGCGTTCATACATACTGGAGTTCGATAAAAATTGTGATTTTTTAAATCCAGCTGAGGCACGGTCCTTTCGAGCACTCTCGAATCGGAAGCGAAACACTATATTGAGTGTCCAAGCCTGGTTCCCCTCTCTAGCAACCTTGACTCCAGTCACGCTACAGAGCGGTCGCCTAAACGACCTAAGATCTTGCCGGTCTCTTGTTCCAGTTATATTATTATACTACAAGCCGAGGCTTCAAACTACAAGTTCTTTTGCTAACGCAAAGACGCAAATTTATTTCACAAATTTACTACTTTTTGTTCTCTGCATAGTTTATCAGTTATCAAAAGCAAAATTAACAATTTCGAATAAAATTCTCTTTTATGTACATTTAATAGCGAAGTGACTGTTGTCCATAGTCATCCATATTTGCAGATGCGTTGCCTAATTATAAACAACAGAGGAGGGGCGCACAGAAAGGATATTTCCCTAACTATGCATCCCATTCCCCGCCATATCCACTTGCTTTTCCCACCACCGTGTTGTTAGGTCTCATCAGATGAAATGCGGAATTACTTCAATTACATGCCTTTATTCTGTGTGGTCCTGGCATTGCACTGATCGATTCCCTTTCGTACAAAAGATGTTATTTCGGACTCTACCACTGTTAAATTAAACAAAACAAGTAGAAAATCGGTCAAACAATCATCTTGTACGAGTAATGAGTTTTTGTTGTTGTCGTGGTCATTTTTCTCAATAGAAATTAGGAACAGTCGGTACATTCTTTACAAATTTAAATGTAACAAGGCTGGTTGTACACGTCTTAGAAAAAAAAGAGAAGGGGGACGCGTCTACGCGTTAAAGCTGAAAAGATATTATCTCTAGCTTTGTTACTGTGCACAATGCTATAGGTAAGTCTTCTAAGTCGTGCTGTGACGTATCTAGATCGGCTATTCATATCGTCTCAATGTGCCAATTTTACTGTCCCTTTTTTATCTAACTTAAATAATAGGAATAAAATTTATAAAAGTCAAACATGATTCGTCCGTGAAAAATTTAAGTCGTGATCTATTGGTATCTGGTAGTTGGCACCGATCGTGATGTGCTTTCTATTCATCTTTTTTATTCGTAGTTCATCTTACTGCTTTATTATTAGCAGAGAGAGGGGAGATACCAATGCATTGTAAGGTGTCCTTGACCTTGACTAGATTGATGTCACATGATCAAGAACTACAAATATTGAACAATCGAAAACGGAGAGCCGAGCCCACGTCACTTAGGTGTGCCGAACTACCCACTACAATATAATGTGATGAACTGGATGACCATATGGGTGAGGTAGTCGAGTTTCCTGCAAATGTTAGGTGGACACGATTCTATTTTGTGTTTATTGTTCACGAACAAAGGACTAAAAGTTTTTTATCCATACAAAATATTTGTTTGCCTTTAAGTAGAGCATTGACACTAAAACTAATGACCTGTTTTGGCACCATTCTTTTGTATTTTGATTTTAAAATACCTGGCAAGTTGCCAATCTTGAAGCATATAAAACGAATAAACTGATTATCTTTACGAAAATAACGAGTATAAAATGTAATAATAAAACCGATTTAAAATGTAAATAAATAATTTAACTACAATTATAATCTTATATATTAGAATTATAAATGTGAATGTTTAAATGGATGGATGGATGTTTGTTTGAAGGTATCTCCAGAACGCCTGAACGGATCTCGATGAAACTTGACAAAAATATAGAATATAGTCTCGAAGAATACATAGGCTACTAATTAAGTTTTTTTCAAGTTTAATATTGTTTTAATATAAAGGTTTTGAAATTCGCGGACTGAGTCCGGGGAGACAGCTAGTTGATCATATTTTCAGTAAAACGCATACAAATTTTGCGTGCTGCAAACAACTTGATGAAGCGTTAATTGAAGATGTCAGTTAAAATTATATTTTTACATATGAAATTCGTAACTTCCCCACTTTATTACTTAAAAACAATTAATTCCAGCAAACACATTCGTTGTCTTTATTAGCTTGTCTTCAATTTATCAAATGGTGAGTTCAAATGTCAACTGAAAACATGTGCAAATGCAGTTACACATTGCTATACAGAGGAAAACTGATAAAGACAAGGTAATAAGATTAGATGGCTAATGTCTTTACATAAACAAATAAAATATGTACAGTATACATAGAAGAAGCCTATACGTAACCATATTAATCTTGAAGTATTGTTATCAGTAATGATTGTATAATAAAACGAGAATATTCTTGATATTTTAGCCTATCGATTGAGTTGCGAATATTTGACAATCCTGACCCAAACTAATTATGAATTTGTACTTAATAATGAATAATATGATCACAGTCGTTAACAGTTTTTGTAACCTAATTGAGAATTTAAACTAGCCATTGAATTTAATTCAATGTCAAGGTAAATGTAACCGTAGCTTTCCACCGCCGATAAACTTGTACAAATATATTGTTATCTCTATTTTTTTCAAAGAAAGTGAGTGAGACGACAACATTTTACACAGGTATATCGGCAGTGAAAACTCACGATAACTTTATCATAAATATTATATATTTATCTAAATTATGTATGAATCAGGTCTGAATCGTTGAATTAAATCTTGTCCTTGATAATGTATCGAATAACTTGCTCTGTTTTTCCGTCCAGTAAGCGACAAATGTGATTGTTTAAGTTTTTGGAATTAATTTAAAATTTCACAGAAATATTTATTAAATTATATTGTTTTTTCAAAGATAATGAAAGGAATGTTAGCTTAATGAAGAAAGGCGTAAACATAAGCTCCCATACACGGACATCTGCAGGACCCGCAATGGTAGATTCAATCAGTCGTCGTTCACAATGGAACACTTGCCACACGCTGACCGCTTGAAGCATTCCGTGCATGGCGACCTTTTTAAACAAACTACATATTACGTGGATTGTCTTAACCGTACCTCGGTTCAATCATATATAAAATTCTCGTGTCACAATTTTCGTTCCCATACTCCTCCGAAACGGCTAGACCGATTTTCATGAAATTTTGTGAGCATATTGAGTAGGTCTGAGAATCGGTCAACATATATTTTTTATCCCGCGCGGACGGAGTCGCGGGCGACAGCTAGTTTGTATATAAATTTATGTTTTTTGATTATCAATAAAAGTGGATATTAGTCCAAGTAAAGTAAACATGCCTCGAATGCCATTTCCTAAACAATTCGCTCTCTACCATCACTATGATTTTTTTATCACGTCCACTGAAATTGGAATGTGAAATTGGAAACTCGAACCCTTATCCAAACATTTCATGTATTCTTAAATGAAATATTCCTTTATTAAAAGGAACATAAATAACTCCTTGGAAAGCGAGTATTTGAAAATATTTTGCATTGACTTCTACATGTTGTTTAAAAGATATTGTCATCCCTTTCACACTGGTTGAAAAAAAATGTCATCCTATCCTATTGAATTTCGCTTTAGGACAACTTTAATGTGGTAGTTAAATTAAAGATGGCACTGAATATCAGGATAATCTCATTAATGAAGTGTAAAGTATAGGGCAGAAGTTGATAGGATTAATAAAATATGAAATTGCAATTACTATTAAAATAAAAAATGTACCAAACTTTTTATAGTTTACTTTAATTTCGATATTGAATACTCTCATTAATTTCCAATATCAGCATCCGTATCACTCCAAATGTTCTGGTTAAAAGATTGTATCTGTAAAAACTTATATTTATTTTATATTTTTAATTTTGCAATGTCATTACTTATGTGAGATTTTATTAATAGGAATGTACGTTTGTATGGAAATGTACAACTTAATTTGCAACGGAAAATTTGCACAGGTATTGTTAAAAATATAGAAAAAACACAGTATAGTCTCAAAAAAGAAACTTATGCATTTGAGATTTTACAAAAAAAAAAATAGGTATGTTCTACCTTCTATCGTATTCAATCTTGGTTACATCAAATCCCTAGCTTGCTAAATACCATAATATAGGAAAACGCCCTTGATAGGGGTTAAAAGTGTTGCGGTTAGAGCTTGCACTAAAACCATGCGGTAGTGGTTCCGACAAATTATGAGGGGATTTCCATTTGCAACTTGTGAGGATGCCGACATGAGGGTTCCTTTCGAGTGGTTCAATAAAACCATGGCTGACGACAGATATTGTTTACTGTTGTGATTTCTTGGGTGGCTGCAATATTATGTAATGTCTCATCGTTGCAGAGGGAAAAGTACTTACAGCTTATCTCGAGAAATACTTCGTGCAGAATTGGAAAATGCATTGGTGTGGTTTCAATAAAAATTTCATTATAAGAAATATTCTCTGAAGAACGAAGTAATAAAAGTGTAAACCAAATTTCAAAAACATCTGACAACGGAGACTGAGTTCTATTTCAATTTATCATTGATACCAAAATAATCGCGTCAAAATGAATTCCATAATTTCTGACTACCCCTCCTTGTACCGGGCATGAGTATAAGGCCAAGTGGAAATGTTCAGTTATATATAAAGGCATATATAAGCAAGTAATATATTAAATTGTACCCATTTCAGTAGTACCTACATCAGCAGCAAGATGACTTTAATTACACGGTATCGGACTTACGGTCTAATGAATCACAGCGTAATCAATGACTTTCTCTTTTTATTTCATTTTCGCAAATAAATAATGTCATAGTAGATAATTAAAGTTTGTACCTAAACCCGGGGAGACTTTATATCCTTGTATCATTTTCTTTCGTTGTTTGCTTGCTTTCTTCTAGTGACGTTTATGAAACTGACAATAATGTTGATTTTTTTGTAATGTAATATAGGAATTTAAGAACGTTTAACAATTTCTACAGTGGTAGAACGCCTAGCAATAATATTTGTTGGATTCACCAAAGACAAGCGTCAAGTGGAAGCAATTCCGCCACAGTCTGATGAGTGTGCGTGCCGGAGCACTAATTGTAGTCAACGTTCCTTTCCCACCCTTTTCTTATAAGGAAATGATGGAAAGGGGAAATGGATTTTGCGGAGGACAGACCGCATAGTAATGAGAAATATCCTTTATCTGTGAAGCCAACGCATCTGTGATTGCAGTTGTCTATAGACATCGGTCGCTTCGCTATTTTGGCGAAATTAGGTAGCCGCTTGGTCGTTTGCCACCTTATAAAAATCCCCAAAATATACATACTTTTTTATTTCGTTCTGCAAGTATAAATATACTCTATAATTGAAAATTTACATAATAGTTTGCAAATTTTTCATATAAGACAAATAAGTTTTATCCATTTACTAGATGACATTTTTGCTTTGTTCTAAACATATCGTTTTACAAAACTTATTCAAGATCTACGACAACGTTATTTTAATAATGTATTAAGTATTTGCATAATAGAGATATCAAAGTTATATTCTATGCGAATACGTTCTTAGAAAATTTAAAATCTTTCCAATAGTTTTTGTTAATAAGATTATAAACTGGTTTTATTGAAATCCATAAATATTTACAGTTATATTTATTATCTGTACACTTCTCTTGTATATTTTATATATAATATTATACAGCAATATTCAATCATGCAGTGGTATTGCTAATAATACGAACAAGCCTTTAAAAAATCTTCCAGAACCTTCTAAACTATTTATGAGGTTTTGTGTATTCCTCTGTGTCAAATAACAGTGTTAACATTTGTGGGGTTTCCCATTTTCCTTTCGTTTCCAATAAATTGTTGTTTAAGTGCTATTTTTAGCAGTTTCACGGGAAAACTAATTTTTAGTGTAATTTCATTGCTTAAGTTGATTTTTAACCCACTTCCAAAAGAAAAAGCTCAATTCGTTTATATGTTTTTTATTATCCAGTGACTTGCTCTGGTTTTTTGTTATAATTTGCCGTGTCGCACTCTCCCGTGTTTCCAATTGACTCACGAAGGACACGAGGACGGAATACAAATGCGCAGTTATGGATGTTTCGTCGCAACTCGACAAAGGGGCCTACGTTCTCGCGAAAATACCCTACTCAAGGTCATATGGTCAATGTTGCATTTTAGTAAAAGCAATTGAAAAACATTAAAGGCAATTGTCCAATTCATCATAACATGTTTACAGTGGGCATAACATGATACAGTGGGCTTCCGCTGTAGACGCAATTTTACAAATTCATTTTGCCATGTCTTTCTTTCTTTTTGAAAAAAATGTTATAATCAGTTTAATATCAGTATAGATTTAAAAAACTATTAAAGCTTTATTATTAAAAAAAAAAATAAACAGCAAAAATAAAAGATGCTAGAGCAATGCATTCTCGAATAGAGGTTAAATCATTTTCTTTATCAAAGCGTATCAATTCGCTGGCATGCTGTCGTCACGGAGCAAATAGAATCGTTCTGGCCGCTGAGAAAACATTTCTGCGTGAATGAAACCTCGCAAGCTCTTTCGTTACCGGGCCACGGTAGCGTTCCAAATTCAAACGTTTCTTTAGATACGTTTTTGTCGAGGTTGCAACTGTTTGTCTATACAAATATTAAAAGGAAAGATGTGTTTGTTTTGTTCTCTGTTAGTACTGATTGAACAAAATAAATTTTAGAAATCGACATTACAGTATAAAGAAGGCACACCACCACGTATATTATGATTACATACAATTTCACAATGAATATTGTATTACGAACTACAAATATTGGAGCTCAACCTATACTTAACAATTTATAATCCCATAAGAAAAACCCAAGGTTATTTGACATACATTTTTTATATTGCCTTATGTCCAAGTAACATCGAATGTTATTTTTTATATGAATAATGTAATGTTGTAAACGTTGAACATGGAAAATAATTACAAAACTAGGTAAATTCTTTAGTTATCATTAAATTCAATTAGGAGTTTACACACGTACACAATTATTACATACACCTGAAAATAACACAACGATATACATGTCGAAGTGTCATATCCAGCTGTATGTAAAGAATCCATAATCAAAGTTATTGTACATCATTGAGTTTACATAAATGTAATTATTAATACGTATGAGTGTGTATGGGTGAAACTAAGGTGTATTACTTACATAACAAAGATAATGTTTCTAATTAACCGGCGATTGTGATCGGCAGTTGCGAGCACACGAAGTCATGAGTTCATACCAACGCCTGACCTTTCACTGGCTGAGAAATGCTATTAGGTTGTCATTCCCACACGACCTGCAGCTTTATCCGTCTTCTAAGAGCCATAACGGTTCCGTGTGCATTTCACATTGAGCCAGGAAGCTGATGCGATTATAAAGATGGTATTGAATGTTTGCTTTCATTTGCCATTTTCTTATGAATGGGCAAGGAGCTCGTTAAAGCATTAGTTATATTTAGGATGCAGCCCACCGCCAAAGTTATACGATCTGTTGGTGCGTGGCGCCACTGGATGGATACCGTCCGAATCTCTGCGCGCAATATCTACGCAGTCCAACTGTGTCTATACTACGCTTGACATGTTTACATTTCGACGTATTTAGCTAATGTAAATAAACAATCTTATTGTAGTGCCGTTTAATTTTTCGTGCAGTTCGAAACTATAATGAGGCAACATTGCCTAGTTATAGCGGTAAGAGGTAGAAATAACATGATGGAAATTATTTTTCACCGATATCAATTTGGAGCGTTTAAGGTGGTGAGGTAATCGCCGGTATATTTGTCAAGCTATTGTTACTTCGATATTATCACAAATGTTCGGCGTTTTCGAAGAGACAATATTACCATTTGCAATCATCAATTTTATTGCTTGTTATAAATCACATTTTGTTTTATTTACAGATTGATTCGTTTCGGTGGTGTACGCTATGATTGGAGGAAGTCCGTTGGCATCGGACTCAATGACATGGAGACTGTAAATTAGGTAGGTATATATGAATTAGTTTAAAATAGACAATGTTGTTGTCGACTCTGGATATGAAAATAATTTATATGACCTTGAGTGTAGTAAGAAATGTTAGTTTTTGATACCAATATCGATGAAGAAGTCCGCGTTTGTCGCACTTGTGTTTTCAAATGTGTTTCATTAATATCTCAGACGTTATATAACAATCTTGAAACTTCGATCAAGTTTAAATCAAATGTGTTATTGAGCAGATATTGTCTCGCTATTACTTGAGTGATTCAGAATCTCGAAGCATTTTATTGAATAGTTACACCGTGAAGGCAATAACTCTGTCAAGGTCAAGATGCACGTAAAATTTGTTTTTGCGTGATCAAAAAAATAACGAATGCGGATAAAGATTAGACATTAGATGCTGGTATTTTCATTTTTAAAGTCGAATTATATGTCGAATACTCTATGGTAAACTTGTTAATTAGATTGTGGTCAGTAAAATACGAGTAGCTTGGTTCTCGAAATGGACGATGACTGGTGAAACTTTCAAGGGCAAATTAGGACAACGCGCCCGATGCAACAAAACGGATTAAAATAACTAAAACAACAAAAACTTTAATGTAACGTAACGCAACGAAATAAGAGAGAATCTAATGCCGTGGGAAATAATATTTTGGTCTTAATTTAACGCTTCGTCAATCGCTAAAGATAGCTTTATGTTCTGCTTTCTTCTCGCTTTATATAATGCATAAAAGCTTTACTTGTTCATAAAACTTGATTTAAATACTAGCATCTTTAAAGCAATTTATAAATATAATCTAATTTTCTTTTTTACATTTTCCAAAGCTTGGAATACGTCAGACAAAAACATTAATTACCAAAAACAAAAAATTGTTGGTTGTGTTTTATAAAACGATTTGTTTTAATATTTAATTATACCGATGTTGGCTTACATTATATTAGAATTAACTGAAGTTGCGATGAAAATAATAGTCCGACATATGAGAATTAATGAGTGTACAAATTTATAAACACCGTGTGGCCGTTATGATTTGTATCGTTCTAATTTATACCGATGTAATTTGTGGACATTAACAATGCATAATTGTTTATATTATTACACTATTATGATAGTTCTTGGAAAGCCACTTCAATATTATAACTGCAGCTTTATGTACATCTTTGACGGAATCTTTTATTTAGTCAAAGTCTTTGCGTCAAAAATTGTAACATTTAATTATCTTTCAGATCTCACTAGACTGTGGCAAAGATAAAGTGATCGGGTGACAAAGTGTGACTAAAAACAGTTTTGTTATAACATGGACATAGAAATACTAAATTTCAAAGAGTGGAAGTAAGAACTGACCATCCCAGTTGTTTTCATGTTGTAAGAGTGCTGTAGATTGGCAGCCATGCTGTCCTACATGGTTCCCGTTGAAGAGAAACCACCGCCGGCGCCGGTCAAGGGCCGACTTGCGTTAGAGCTGGTTGGCAGTCCAGGAAGTCCAGAGTCTGCGGTCAGGAAGACCAGAAGCAACATTTCCAAGGAGTCATCGACGAGCTCGTTCGCGAGCGATCTCACTATATCGTCGTCGACTCCAACTGGTGTCCTTGACAAGCCAAAACATAAACTGCTGAGCAATGGCAGTAAACATACGTCGCTAAAAAGGTTAGTACCTCTCTATAATAATGCTGTTACCTTAATTAAATAGCTAGAAGATAAGATTAAAATTCTTTAGAACACATAATTTTGCGAAGCGTATAAGCAGCTTCGCGTAATTACACGATACGAATTATTGTCAAGTGTGCTGTGCTTTAGCTTTCAGAATACGCTATAAAATAAAAAGAAAGATGCTAACAAAAATGACAGCAAACATCTGATAGATGCACGATTGGGGCAAGTTTTATTGTGAGTTTGATAAAAAGTGATGAGCAAGGCTAGCGATTGATATCTTTAATGTAATGAGCAAAAAATTAACTTTGTATGCTGTATAGCTTGTATTGTCAATTAAAAAAAATCAAACTATTAAATCATAGTTTAAGTATGATTTGGCATAGATATCAATTCGCAATATCGGTCAGATATTCCTCTTTGTTATGATTACTTAATCCCATGCTGCCATGCACAAATATATATGTTAATATTGTATTGTCTTCATCGAAGTATCCTATACATTCTATACCGACCTAATCATTTATGTATAAACCGCGTTGTTCCTGTCTGCATTGAAATTCATGTATTGGGGATAATAGTACTCCTAAATACATTTATGCATCAGGATAAATGCTTTGTTGTCGAGATATCAAGATCAATTTGCAACATTTCGATGCTCAAAAGAGAACATAAAATCTCTTTTATTTTGCGATTTAAAATATTTAAAATGATCTAAGAGTTCAATTAAAAAAATATTTTTAGGGTTCCGTACCTCATAGGAAAAAACGCAACCCTTATAGGATCACTTTGTTGTCCGTCCGTCCGTCTGTAAAGACCCTTTTTCTCAAAAACGCGTGAAGGTATCAAGCTGGTATTTACTAGACGCTGTCTAGCGTCAAAATCCAAAAACTTGGTATTAATCTTGCTTGCCCATTTTCTTATTTCCTTAGTGAAGTCTTGGGGTCTTCGTATGTAATTTACTAATATCCTAGATAAATGAGAAAACATTAACCACATTGCAGGCAATCTTATACGCGTCTGCTAGTGGAAATCGATTTGCGGCCGACTAGTCTTGCCGTACAGAGGTCGCTATAGGTCTGCAAACACATTACAATGTAACATATGTCTCTATTTACTGAACACAGCACTATGTATCAATAAATATTGATTAATGGATGTCGTATCAATTTGACCGTAACCTATGGTTAAGCTGCACTTTACCAGAGTATATAGTAATTAATGAATAATTTAGACTTTGGTTCGAAGTTTATAGTGACAAGATCAGTTCTGACATGTTATGTCATGTCATGAGTCTTGTATACGAAACCTAAAGAGGAATTTGATTACTGTTTAAGGGAAGTAGTAGGTTTCTGAGACCAACATCCCCGTTTAAAAAATATTGTTATCTTTTTTTTGTTTGAGAAACCAACGGTAAGAGAGCTACGAATCAGATTCAGATTTAAACTAGCTTCTGCTATATTTTTCAAGGCAAGCAGTGGTTGACAATCGTGTGAAAGAAAAACAGAAAACTGAATTGGATATATTTTTAATTTTAAAAACATAAAATCAAATGTTTAGATTATGATTTGTAAGCTTCATAATTCTTGCATTCCCAGGCATCAGGTAGTCTCAAGGGAATATGCGTAAGCCACGGCGTATATATTTCCAGTTGACAGTCAGGTCTGTGAGAAAATATTATATTTTTCAACTATGCTTATGAAATTCACATAACCTAACATTTTTAATCAACGACTTTTGTCAATCGAAATATTTATAGGAGTGCAAATGTATTTGTCGTCATCGTACTATATGCCCACCGAGTAATTCGAAGTCTACCCAAATAATATGACTAGGTCATAATTATGACTATTTTGGACCAATCTTTGTTACTATTTTAGAAATATGCTTTGCGTTAATTTGTGGTTTAATAACAATTTTTTATAATAAGTTCGTATTTTTTTTATAATTTTCCATGCCGTTTAAAAATAAATAAGACCGTATTATACATTGTAAATACACTCTTTGTATTCTCTGTGTAAAATGCAGAGGAAATTGTAGTTCAATTTTTCCTTTGTAACTTAACATTTTATAAAGAGAACCTGTGCACCGCTCTTGGCATTTTCTAAGCACCTCTCCAAGCTCAAAGGGAAAGTCCTAGCTAATATTAAACCAGATTAAAATACTGAAATAAACTACAAAATGCTTTTACAATATCAGGAAATTCCATGTTTGTAGTAAGATTTTTCGTCGAATTGGATACTTATACGAAAACTAGTGTATTTGTGTGTTTTGACTGTGGTGAAACTTGTTTTAATATATATTGTTGATTGAGACTGAAAGGGTAATAATGTTTGATAACAATTACTTGGAAGCAATCCACCCAATAAATCCAGTGGAGGTGACTGGTACCGGTTTAAGACTTTTCTTTGTCTCCGCTTTGCCTATTGCACGAGGAAGTTCTGCAGCTGCTTCTTCTCGTATAGCCTTCGATTCTTTCAAGGCCCGACTGAAAAAAGGAAATTATTAATCAATTTCAATCATCATGACATTAACTAGTAATCATCCATGGACCTAACACGAATATTTGTGACTATCGACTTCGTTATTTTTGGTGCACAAAATTCAATAATTTTTTGATTACGATAAGATGGTGATTGTTACAAATTCTCATGTACGACCTGTTACATTCTATATGGTGGTGAAATTGATAAAGCATATATATACGTATGTTGCTGTTACTCGCACAAAATTTCTTGAAACTTTGTTGAACAGTTATAGCGACACAAATGTAATAAAAAATTCAAACGCTAGCCTTTATTTTTCTTGTCATATTTCCAAGTTATTCGTCACTATCTTAAACCACGCTCTAGCCACATGTAGACGTCATGTTTACGATTATTTTATTTTTCTCTGATATTACAGCGCGAAGTAATTCAAGTGCAGCTATTTCGAAATTGCATGCATTTTGTATAAGTTACTTCACAAAGTTTCCCTTTACGTAATCGATTCTCGTTCGCTTTATTTACGACCTGGTACGACTTAGGGTCTTAAAAAAGGACTTTCATTTATTGTGTAATGGCCGTACTTTGTTTCCTCGCGAATTTGCGTAAATTTTATAACAAAACACTAATATCTACATGATTATTTTGTTACTGTGAATACTTCTTATCTGATTATGTCATTTTTTATACTTTTTTTTCGATGAATCTGAATATTATAAAGCAACTTTATATTTTTACAAACATAGGCTAAAAAATTAAGTGTCTTTATTGCCAATTATCATACATTTTTTTTTGGCTAATGAACAAAAAAAGATTTGAAATATTTTACATTATTTCACAATTTTCTAGTTTGCAGCCTCATAAAGCATGTAACTTGGGAGTTCCTAGTTGCGAGGTTCCGTAGATTTTAATAATGACCGCTTATATTGCATCTGAAATCAATCGCAGTATTATAAGATTCAAACTTTATGGCAGGTTGCAATATGCTGATAAAATTTGTTATTGTTATTATGCGCATCAACTCGTTCGAAACAGCGAGCCGCGATAAAGTTTGTGTGATATTGTATTCAAATTCTAGCCTAGAGCTAGTTCGATACTAACAAGAATTACGATACCACGGGGTGACAGGGTATACGCAAATTGCATGTCTTGTCGGTCAGTTGCAATCTTGGTGACATCTGACCGTTATAACGAGATATAGTATGCCATAGAAACCATATAGGTCTGAGAATAAGACAAAAATATACACTCAAAGTATTTTATTAAAATATAATTTGTATTATTACGATATTTGTAGTTGTCAATAGCAGATGTTACGTTAGTTGACCTATTATTAGGTATCCATACTATGTACTTATATCTAGGTTTTATGTGAAAAATATAACATGTTGTTTATTTTGTATTTTTTTGATTAACATTCAAAATTAACTTATTTATTTTGTAAATGAATCGTTACAAAATCTTTAAAGTTAGTTTTTATATCTTCATGTTTAAGCGAAACTAACGTTTTTAGTCAACCTCGGTGTTTTTTATTCTACTTTAAGAAAATAAAAATAAACATTCACGAAACCTGCATTTCACGTTAAGCGGAACTCAGCTTGCAAGTTCGCCCGACCTCATAATAAAAAACTTGCAACATGGCCAAATGGGTTCGTTGTTACGCAATACAAACTCACATCGCTCACAGATAAACGTCCTGCTTTTGAAAGTCGTAAAGCTCCGTGAGATATTCGCAAACTTATATATCTAATGTGATAAATATGTATCATGGGCAACTATATAACACAAAATTACATTCATTGCATTTAATTCGATTACATAACAGATATTTATGTAACATTTTTCTGGGTTAATACTTTAAATACGTGATAATAAGTATCCTTATAACAAAACGAGTTAAGTAAAACTTTCACCTCTTTACTGATCAATATTTGTCACACATTATATATAGAATTTATATACATAGTTATACAGCATCGCGTTTACTGTAAGCCAAGAGTTTACTTAAAAAATCAGCATAGTCTTCGGGCCGAACATTAGCTCACTATACGTCCCCACTGAGTGGCTCGGAGCTATGTTGGGGGTGACTAGGCCTTAGTCAACCACTCTGGTCTAGTGCGGGCTAGTTAACTCCACAAATATCTTTGAATTTCTTCTCAGATATGTGCATCACGATGTTTTCCATCACCGTATGAACGTTGTATAAATATGAAATGTATATACATAATTCGAAAAATACATGGCTTCTTAGGTTAGAGCCCACCAATATTTTCCACTATTGGTCAATACTTAGTTCACGTGTGTAATAGATTTCTATAGATTGGCTACGACTGGTGACTGTTGCCATTACATTGGTTTGTTTTTCTGTTTGATCTTGATAATTTCCGTTCTCAATGTTTTCGTGTTCGATTCAAATGCCGAAACAGGATGTAACTACGATATCCTTATACCAGACTGGTACAACAAGCAAACATATCGTCTTCCATAACACGCGGTTTGCTAGTTGTTTGTTTTCGAGGCAACACTAGAATATGATTTCCAGTTTAAACGAGTCATGTTTACTTTTGCTGACCTTTCAAGCTGGGGTTTGTTTGAACCAAACATGCATTTACGAGCACGACGTCATAGTTGGATCGTGAACTAGCGTCGTATAATGTAACCTTTTTGCAACTATGTACTTTATATTATGTTCCCAAGCGGGACGCATTCTACGAACAATTTACGTGCATACGCAACTTGCTGTGCATGCTTTTAATGTTCAGTCGTATAAGTCGTAATCGCTTTCTAGTCCACATATACTATCGCACGGATTGGATTCGATTTTCGAAGCTTGGATGCAAATATTAGTTGGACTATAAATGTTTTTCTTAATTACGATATTAGTCTTGTTAGTCTTATCTCTTACTAATATTATAAATGCGAAACTTTAAATGGATGGATGGATGTTTGTTAGAATTTACCTCCGAACGGTTAAACGGATCTTGATGAAATTTGGTACAGATGTAGAACATAGTCCGGAAAAACACATAGGCTACTCATTAAGTTTTTTTAATTACGCGCGTACGGAGTCGCGGCAGCTAATGTAAAATAACGTAGACATAACTAGACGTGTATTTTCAATTACCGTCAGCTTTATTGAAAATGATTAATTGCATCATACTTTAAAGTTATATCAACAATCCGCCAGACACATTCACACGTAAATTGTTACAATAAACTTTGGCTTTCATAACTCTTTAACAATAAGTAGACATACAAAGACAAAACTCTTTGTGGAACACGATATTGAAAATAAAATCTTGAAATTTTCCGTGTGACTAACAAGAATTACTCGCGCTTATTGAACGGCGATTTTAATAATTCAATATATTAAAATTACATAGAATTACCTAATTGTTATTTTAATTCGTTATAAATAGTTAGTAAAGAGCATTACTAGATAATGAAATTCGAATAATTCAATTGTCTATATTTTGCGAGCGCTAGTTTTTTCCGTGTATTCAGCAATAGCCACACTTCCGCCCATAAAGTGGCTATTTAGGCTATGAAAGGAACATCGCTAGGCAACACCGTTAACGTTCATCTGCCGTGATATTCGCTTTGGTACATATTGTAATCTTTTTCGTTAAATAGGATGAAATAGACGACAAAACAAAGACGAAGCTTAATTACCTTTGCTCATCCAGTAACCAGCTCCAGAGTTCAGCCCATTGTTTGCTGCACGCTTCAGCCTTCTTCCATTGAGCTCTCATCTGAAACGCTTCCGTATTCGGGTCGAATTTAGGCATTTTCCCCGTGTCCTTATCCATCGCTGTTGATTCTTGATAACACAATTAGGCCGCACGTTGATTGCGAAGTGCTGTTAGAAGTCGTGTAATGTTTTATTTTAACACTTAAAAGATAACTGCGCGTTGCAATCCTGATAACATCAACGTAAGAACTGGCCGGATGGAGCGTGAATTAATTTAAAAAGCAAATTTATTATCTTTATCTGTTGTGGTTCATTTAAACGCGCCGTAGTTCCTCTATCTGATTCATGTTTTATTGCACGGTGAAGGTACGAGAAACTTTTTAACGGTGATTCTGATAGCTTCAGCGCTTAGAAATGAGTTTGCAAAATAGTTGTGGGTTTATGAGAAGTTTTACTATAACCATAAAGAAGTATATGGAAAAAACTCAATTAAAACTTTTGGAATTTTAAGCCTCAGATCGGAAAGGCGATTTGTACCCATTTGGGTAATACTTTGTTATGGACATCTCTGTTTTCATGCAGCCATGTAGAGCACTACTTTAGGGTCGGATCACACATTGTAAGCTATAGAATAGAAAACATGTAATACTTCATCGGTTAATTACTAAATGTACGCAAATAGACGTTCCTACTAAACTAAAGACTCAATTTAAATGTCACTTACCATTAAATCACATTAACACGTTGAGCGCCACGCGTATTTCTAAGACAATCCCTTTCAGGCCACGAGCGACGCTTATAGGTCTGGTATTAAAGGGCCGGTGTTTTCGATCGCAGTACAAAATAGTTTACATTTTTAACGCAAAATAGTGTAAAATTTTATAGTTCTCATGTTACAAGCTGCCAGCCACCGATGGCTGACGCGGCCTAAACGAAAAGTCTAGTGTCAGCCACCGATGGTTGACGTGGCGCTCAACGTGTTAAAAGTGCCATTAATTTTTATTTATTTTTATCTTAAAAGTGAGATTAGTGGAACGTTTACCTAAGTTTGTTTTTTACGCGTTTTATTTTTTATTAAGTTTACTTTTTTTAATACACTAATCTATATTTAAGGGAGGTTTTCTTTAATATCCTCACATCTTGAATTCAAAACCGAAAAAAAAAATTACACTTGATTAGTATGGATACTGTCAACCCCAATCACAATAAAATACGTGAACGCTTTCCTATTATCATAATGTTTAATGGCCAAGCGAACTGTGTCAACGGATATCGATTATACAAGCTTTTGTAGAATATATAAAAGACGGGAAATCGTCTCTAACAATGCAGTTAACTTCGATTTATATGCGGAAATTACACTCTTGCAATCATTCTGTATATAATAAATGCATCGAGAATAATGAACGAGTTTCATTATTGTCATTATACATCGGCGCTTGGCAGTAATAATTTGATGGTGAATACAATTCATTCTATCATCTGACTTTAATAAACTAATACAAATGCACAATTGAGAAACTCTACAAATAAAGCTACAGCCAAGCTACAGTTCGTGTACCATCATTGTCAAAGTGGGACAGATATTACAAAGAATGTTAAGTAGTTTCGAACCAATACGGAACTTATAGTTGTAAAAGTTAAAACGATTGCACTGCCTTTAGAAGCTACAAGTCGACCGATTAGAAAGTAAATTCGGTTACACCAGATGGTTCACAACTGTTTCTCATGATTTGAACAAATCTTGCATGCCTGTACTATTTTATTTTTATCTTTTATAGAATTGGAAAAATAAACAGCCAGAATCAATCATTATTATCTGAAAGTAATGTCAAATATCTAAATCTAAATAAATAAATAAATTTATAAAAATGTAATATGGCAAGCAAATGTTCCATTAAAACACAGACATTTTATTTTATACAGTCTCATCTATATAGTGGTTAAGGAAAGCTTAGGACAAACACACATTCATTTTCATTTATACCGAAGACCGGCAAGCCAAAGAAAAATACGCTTACTTATTTCCTTGCTAAGGGAGATAAGTATTTTATTGATGAAAGCTTTTTATAATCTGTTGTGTAATAAATTTATATGATATTAAGATGATAATTACGAACGAGTTAAAGTACAATTACGGCGCCATTGAACGTCATTTTTGACCTACTGACAAAGAGGTAATTCTTTTTCTTTGATATAGAAATATCTTTGTATGTATGTGTGTTTGTACTGTGACAAACTACGTATGAACCGATTAAGACAAGAAAAATTACTCTTTGAGAATAACGTGGCCTAATTTTAGTTCTCATTCCCTTCCGACCCTTTTTCTTATATGGAAAGTGGAAGTGGACTTTCCGGATGAGAGGATGCATGGGAAGGGAAAATATTTTCTTTCTGTGCATCCCCTCTTCCGTTGATTAAAGGCAGGCAACGCATATGCAATTACGTATGCCTATAGGGAACTATTGCTTTGCTATTTCAGCGATTTCAGGTGGCCGCTCGCGCGTTTTCCGCCTTTGATATAAAAAATGACGATTCGTATTTTTCGGAGTATCGCAGGGGTCAAAAATCATATGAGTCTGAGTGGCTAATTATTTTTTTAATTACCAGCAAAAATTTTCATCAATCCATTCTAGCGTAAAATTTCCAACTCAGTTAACTAATTAAATCAATTATTTCGTATGCTACAAATATTACGTGAAATATTCGCATGGGTCAGTTAATTAATTGTGGCTGTATATTTTGGTTCTATCTTATTTTGTCTATAATGAGCGGAATTTTATAATTGGTACACGTTTAATTAAGTTAACGCTCTGTTGAGTTGCATTAAAATTATATTGTCGATATTAATATTTAAATACAGTAAATACAATAATTGCAGTAACACTTTCTCAATATAATACCCAGGAAAATATAAAGTACTAGCTGTCGTCCGCGACTCTAACTGCGCCGAATTAAGAAAAGATACAATAAGTAGTAGTACCCTTTGTGTTCTCTCAGACTATGGTCTACACGTGTGCCAAATTTGATCAAAATCCGTTCAGCCGTTTCGGAGATATCTTCTAACAAACATCCATCCATCCATCTATCCAAACAATCGCATTTAGTATATAATATTAGTAAGATTGCTTATGAAGACGCATTGTTTGCTTAGCTTCAATTGCGCGGTCGTTATTATGATGATGTTTTAGTGTGTATTTTTAGTAGGTTAGCAGAGGTAGTTACTACTCAATCTTATTAGGTATAATTTTTCTTCAGTTTTTTATTCTAATCTACACTAATGTCAAAATTATATATGTACTCACATTTTACTAATTTAATGTAATATTATGTATATATTATGTATACATTTGCTCCCGTACGAACTTTTTCAATCATGGAAATAATTTAAACTTCGTAAAATGTTTGATTGGTATGTTACAAAGACATATTACTTTATTAATCGTTTATGTTTATAGTAGGTGTCGTAAAGTTGTCTACATCTCACAAGACTGGTGAGGCTAATACAAAAGGCAATGATTCCCTGAGAGCTTGTGTCTGCTCTACCCACACTTTTATAAATGAAGAGGTAGACGTTTGAGATGTGTTTCCGACTAGACGTGGGTTGCTACATTATATAGGTGAATTTCTACAACATATATTTCAGAGGCAAATATCACATTTGTAAAATAATTTCTACGATAATACATTTGTATTATTTATTGTAATTCTATTGTTAAATGGATTTCATTTTTTCTACTTACATATAATAGATTGGGTCCTTTTTAATTAATATTTTAGCAATATGACCTTAAAATAAAATGTATTTGCTTTAATAATCCAATTAAAAACGTTTTTGGTAAGAACTCGAATATAAAAATAATTACGGATGTTGTCAAACTTCGTGTCATTTATATGACATTGCAAAAAGTGCAAGGTCGTAGAACGGAACAGGTAATTCGGACGAAGTATCAATAATAATGATAAAATGTTAATAAGTTTTTTATTTGCATGTTTTATTTATTTAATAAATGAATAGCTAACAGAATTTCTAACTGTATAATCAATATATTGTGCTTATTTAAAAAATAAATGAACTTTTTTTGCATTCGGGCCAATAACTTTCAGAAGAAACATACGCCAATTGTATCAGCCTACTTTTGTTAAAGTTTAAAGACATGAAAGTTTTTTTTTATACGCTGATAACAAGGAAACATTGAGTTACCGTATGATGATTCGCAAACACCTACATGCATTCCCTTCCTGGACGGGGAATTAAGGTGCAAACGATTGTGTCTTTCGAGGAGCACGATGGCAGGTCTTGTTAGGACTAATTGAGTCTCCGGTTCTTGTCACTGAAATAAACCTTTATCATTTTACACGCTTGTACCTACCGTTTGATACAATCAAAAACATTTAACGTGTATCAATAAACTAACTGTCGCCTGCGATTCCGTTCGCGCGGAAAAAAATAAACTTAATAAGTAGCCTATGTGTTTTTCTAGACTATTGTTCATATATCATATATTCATGTCGTTTTGGTGATATATTCAAACAAACATCATTTATATTATTGGTAAGATAGGTCATTATGAACGCGATTACGCTCAAAAAGTTGTACCACCGGTATAGTTTCCGTTGACAAGTTTGAGACTTGCACTGTACTGACGATTATGTGCGATTATGCTTAAAATATTGGAAGGAAAGCCCTTTAGTGTCCGCTCTACAAATACTTAGTACTATAATCTCTTTGGTTATAGCCAATCTCTTCTCTATATTTCTTCTACTACAATGTTAAACTACGCTAGACCGAATACATTTAGTAGAAGCAGCTGCGTGTCTCTACCACTGTCAAATGCCATTTGTTTTGCACAAAATAGGGGTTGCATGTAGCGCGTTATTATTCAAGCATTTCCTATGGGCACGTGCAGTTCCCCTAGCTTTAAATTGCTACCCTCCTTTTACATTGATTCGTTTCGTGTTAATCCGTTTCATTCTACTTTATTGTGGACTGCTATTATGTATCTTACGGATAAAAATGTATACATAAAACGCGCTAACATTAACTCTTAAAGTTATCTGATTTCTAATTATTGGTTGTAATTGTAGATCTTCTAATTATTATTGGAGGTAGAGAAATAACAAGGATGAATACCAAGTAATTAATGTTATGTCAGACAGGTATAAACTTATTAATTCATCGGCAACTCGACGACAAATTGTGTACTAACTAAACTTAACTTAATTTTCTAGCTTTTGCCCCGTCGAGTGTAAAGGTGAAGCGAATGAATCTGATTAATTAATAGCGTACGCCGCACATATTGACTTAGTTTAAAAGCTCGGCACCAGGTCTCGCTACGTTCGAGGAAAAGCAAACTAATTTAAATTAATGCCGAACGTTGTGAGCTTGTTTGCATATATGAGGTACCAGCACAAAGTCACCTCAACTCCCACAACATCGGAACTTGTAACAACGTTCCAACTAATTCCTCGCTAGAACCAACATTGCTTGGTTCTATTGAAGACATCAGTTAAAAGGCTTTATTAATTAAGTATTTTATATTAAAAATCCTCCAAGCCAAGAATTGAATTCAAGAAATAGGTATCATTAGTACAAGATTGATCTTTTTATGTCAAATAGCTACAGATAGATGTCTATTCTTTCAATTAAAATGAAGCCAATTGAATACGTCTAACATTCTTCAATTTCCAACTCGCAATTATAATGTGGGTCTTCTAGGAGAGAAGCCGAGTTGGATAATTTGATTCTTGTCGTGGCAATATTTACTCGTAAACAACTATAATAGGGACTACGATGCCCAGAACTTTTCTTATCGTTGACTACGTTTGTCGTTAACAACCAAATAAGCAGATACTATGAAGTGAAAGAATTGCTATGATGTCTGATTATTCTACTGAGTGTTGAAGTTACTAGCTTCATGTTTCGCAAGTGAACTATTACGTAGTTTTATTCGGTGCAAGTGTGACGCAACCCGACGATACAGGCCCCGCAAGGGCATATCCGCACTGCGCAGTCACTACAAATGCACTTCACATTAAAATGATATAAAAAATTCAGACTTGGAAGAGAAGTTGAATGAAGTAGAAATTTATGAAATGCTTTATTTCAAAGAGTTACATAGTTGACGATATTAAAAAATAGCTGTCCTTCGCGATTCCGTCTGCGCGGAATTAAAAAAATATTATGTAACCTATGTGTACTTCCAGACTGTTCCACATCTATGTCATAAAACAACCATAGATAATATATGCATTTTTAATATTAGTAAGATTGTGATATTACAGTTTGATAAAGATGCTCATTTTAATTTACTTTAAAATATAACAATTGGAAGTGCTTGACCAGTACAATGTTTGCTTTTCAATAAATGAGATGGTCTATGGTCAACAATGAACTAATTGGCCTATTATGATGTAAAACGGTCATCAATTATTGAGAATGAGGGCAATAGCAACAATACCAAATGCACAAAACAAGCACTAAATTCTTGACATTAAAATTCAGCACTATGTTTATTTAAATTATGTCGCCAAAAAGAACATAGCATTTTTACATTAAACAACAGAGAAGCTAGATTATCTGTAATGTAAATATTTCTAAAAAGAAAAAGAAATGACGCAAGTTGATTCTAGATTTCGTAGAGATGATATCTATGATTTAATATTACAACTATGTGGAAGAAGTATTAAATGCTCTTAAGAGTAATATCTTATAAATATTGCTTTTTTTAAATTGGGAGTGGTCGTAGAAAATGATGTCATAAAAAAGTGTTACGTCACATAGGATGGAATAAGGAATGCATATTGGACACGCCAAGTCCGCTAGTTGTTTACTTTCTACAGTTCAACACGTTTATTAAATCGCCAATAAACTTATCTAAGACGCCTTTTTACCTTCACTCTTAGTTTTTATATCTATTTTATAATCACAAAGTACTACCTTCACTGATTTTGTAATTGAATTGAAGTGTCGGAACAGTTTTAGTCTAGGAGACGAAATTGTATCCTTATTTTTTTTTCCAAACGTCAATAATTTAGATGAAATTAAGAAAAGTAATCACATCAGTAGACCAGTATGGTTTTTGAATTTAGATGACGGAGATTATATAGTTTTTGTAAAAATAATTTGCCCATCTTTTATAAAATGCGACGGTAATTTTAAAAATAACAAACTTCTTTTTTCTGCAGGGTATCCTTTGGCAGCTCGAAAGGGTCGATGGTCGAGACCCTTATCTACGAGAGTCCCCTTCAAGAGGAACCAGAGCAGACCAGCCCACCACCGAAGGCGCAGGAGACGTCCTTCCCCTACACGCCCGTCGAAGACGAGTACGTTATATTCATTTAATGAGTATGTTTTTTTTTCATTTTCATTTCCGCGATTGGGTGTTTTGTTCAGTAATTGCGAAATAATTATTTTAAAACCAGTTATCGCTCGCGATTTTGTCACTATGCAATTAAAAACTTAATAGCTTATGCGTTATATCTGACTGACTGTAATGTATGTTCCGAATTTCATACATACCATCCAAAGTTTTTCATATATGCCAAGTAAGATGTAAGATTACTTACCCCAAAATATAAACGCGATTTTAATGGAAAATAACAATATGCTCTGCGATTATTATGATGAAATAGAGGGTTAAAGAAGTGGTTTTGATGTAAATACGACATTCGCGTAAAGTTATGGCGTATGTAACGGTCATACACAACGGTCACACACCGCTGTGACTGTTGCTCTTATCATAACGACCACTATAAAGATCTGTAACATGATAACATGACAAAATTAGACTCTCGTCTTGGATTTGCTGACGTTAACATTTCAAAAAATAATATAACAACAAAAACAATATTTTAAATTGTTAAAAAAAACATATGAGTTAAATAAAAAAATAGTTAATTTAAAAAAACTAATATTTTGCAAAATAAATAATATAATTTTTAAAATAAAAAAGAAAACAGGAAGTTAAATTATAATTTAACATTAAAATTTTACATAACTTTAATAAGCTTATCAGTACTGAGTTGTAGCATTAACTGGATAAAATACTTGTTAGTAAAACTCGTGTTAACCCGGATGCAAGCGGTTGCGATCAGGAAGTTAGTCGGAGCAGGGTGCACAAAAATGCATATCCAGTCTCGCGACAGTCCAATCGCTTATGGTACTCAGGATTTCAATCCAAACCTATAAAATAACTATAGACAACAATTTACGCTAAAAGTCATAAATTCCAAAATATTTCTTGTCGGACACCTTAATAATATCACATCATTTTATTTCACAATTTACACAAAATATTTACTTAGAAACGTCAAATATCTAAATGGCCGACATTTAAGGAATTTGACGTTCCTCAGTTCGCTTAAATTATGTTTTGGATCGAAACGAAGGATGAGAATTAGCATTTAAAAAATAATAAAAAGCATCTTTTTAAATAGCTAATAAAAAATATTTTCTCTGCTTTATTTGATACTGATTAGCTCAAAACAATTTTTTTTTATTTGAACATTGTCAGATAGCGGTAGCGACAGCGGTAAATCCCCTAAAGAAATAACACGGAAACATAAAAATATTGACATTTCTAGAAGCAATTAGCGATTTATATTTAAAGAGGAAATGACTTGTAAGAGATTAAAATTAATTGGTTATTTAAATCGTTACTTTAATGTACATTAATTAACAATCATTCTAAGATCTTAAAAAATCCATATACCTTTAAATTGTTGTTTCAAAGCACCCCACAATAAATGTATCTAGGGAATAATTACGTCATGCGTAGGTACATACAACCTACTTACGCAATAGAGTGAGGGAATGGCATTAAATAAGTCTCCCTCCGCCTACGACAATCGATAAATGGCTCTGATCACACCTCCCCATCATTTACTTGGAAATGTTTTCTAATTGCTGTTATAAATAGATAAAAAGGTGCTCATGTATTGCGGCTATAAAGTCACAAAGGAAGTCTACTGATGGTGAAACCAAAAATACATAATATAGACATGCTTTCTTGGTCTGGGTCCACGATTTATTTACTACTAAAGTCATATCATTTTATATATAATTAATCACAAAAAGCTATTGATGCTTAAATTAAAGTTTTGTCATCGCAATATTATTTTAAAGTATAAAAAGTTAGTAGAATATAAAATCCTGTTTAACATTTGACAAAAAGTCTTACATGTTTGTAACTAGCATGTTAACGCATTGTTTTCTTTGCAGAAATTATGCGTGATTCTCGTTTAATTGGAAAGATTTTGTATACTAATGTAGCGACTACTATGAAACGAAACTTGTTAAGTGAAAACAATGTTTAAACAAAATTATCCGCTGTTAAACTATATCATTTTGAATGCTACGGCGCGGCGAAGTTCTGTTTCAAAATATTGAGAAAAATGAAAAAATAAACAAAATTTATGAAATCAAAAACCCACGAAAATAAAGCCTAAGATATCAAAATATTAGAAGGCAATTCTATAAAAATAATAAGGTGTAATATTTTATCCCAATCTGTTAGTTATCAGATAATAAACCGAATTTCGCGGGCGATAATACGAATCCGTTGTTTCCGTTAACGAAAAATGTTGGGTTACGTCACTAGGCGAGGCGAAACGAGGCGAGTGCGAATAGCGGCGCTCGCTTCGGTTCACTCCATTCGCTGAGGAGTGCGAGTGAGCGAGTGAGCCTCAACGACATCCGAACATCCGAGTCGGAGATCGATGTTGTGAACGTGTACGTAGTGGAAACACTGTTGTGAAGCGTTGTGCGGTGCGGCCAAACCCAACGGCGCAATCTGCGCTAATGTTGTTCGTTGCTACTGTTAATGTCTAATAATTATTTATATCATCGAAAGTAAATAATTATATTTGAGTGTTGAGTGACAATTATTATTTTACGTGAATATAAGAAAGGTATGTTAACATTGTTCACGTCATTTTTGTGTTGTGCTGCGCACTGTGTTCGGCTGTCAATTATTTCTATAATTTTTACGGTTAACGAGGTAGCTATTAAGTTTATTTGTTATCAAATCGCTAATATATCAATGATAAGTTAATACGAGGTGGAGTACGGGTGAATCGCAGTTTTATAGCGAGGAGAATTCGGTCAGTATGACGTCACGAGGACTGAATTATAAACATAAAACGACTTTCAGTTCCATCCAGCAATCGGGAGTACAAGGTCACCACTCGGCATCTACATACATCTAGTAAACATACATTGGCAAACGTTTTAGAATCTCTATTTATAATGAGTGCATCACTGATTATCCCTATGAGAAGACCCGCCCTGTGATTGCCTAAGGTCGGTCGGCTCGCGGCTGCTTGCGGAATTTGCCTTCTGATCTCACCAAACCTTTCTTTGTCCCAGCTACTTTTTTCAGTTAACATTTATATTTAATATTAATTCATATTATAAATAATTTTCCATTTAAAATATTATTAACATGTCCTTCAAAAAGCTGTGCGTGGGATTTTATACGATTCTTTAGGTATTTTCGTTTTTTTAATTTATTGCACAATAATATATTTCAAATTCTAAATTTTATAATTAAAAGGACATTTCAAATTACAATTTAACTTTTCGTTATTTTTTAAATCAATTTAAAAGTTATATAACAAAAATATTTGAAGAATTTTGCACAGTATATTTAAATTTCCTAAAAAATATAAGATTGTTTATTGTGATGATAATTTATTGATCATAAATCAACAAAATTGACAATTTATTATCAAAATTGAGATGTATTTTATTTGATATTGGTTAAGATTTGGTGTAGCTTCATCATCATAATACTTTCAAAATTCTGGGCTATCTTTCTTGTTGGTCAGAAATATGTTTCTGTTGTGTTAATAATTAAAAATTTTACATTACAACCTACAACTAAATCATCTAATATCATAATAAAACTGCTATCAATAAATGTATATTTAGGATATCTAAAATACAAAATAAAGTTACAAGATAGCCGAGAAATTGGTTGGCCAATATGAACATGTATACTTCTAACCTTGCGTTTCTGAGACCGAAATCTCTGTATAAAATATATCATCATCCCTGTGACAAAACAGAGATAACAATATGTTTAAAATGAGAATTATCATCATTGTGTTAGCATTATTGATACATTGCTGAACATAAGCCTCTTTTCCCATGCACCATTCCATAATGTCCTGCGCGGCTTTTCTATGATTTTCCTTGCATGATGTCATTAAGCCATCTTTAAATTACAACTATAAAGTATTAATGAAAAAAATTTATTTCTTTAAGGTCATGTTTAATGGTAACAAAGAGTATGTTACATCTAAAATATTCTATATATAAAAATTTCCATGTATGTAACACTAACATGTGGGTGTTACATATAGTCATCAGCTAATAAAAGATCCACGCTTTAATGGAACAAACTGAAGTTAATCTGTATAACAGTTTATACTACAAATGTCTTCTCATACGCTTCAGCTGTGCGTTGTATTTTTAAAGCTTAAAACATTGTTATAAATGCAAAGCCTAATTAGTTTTAATTTGTTATTGTTTATCATTTTATATTTATGAATCTGTATTTTCCATCATGGTAAGAGTATTCTTCTTATTTGTATAATTGTTTACAGGTCGGAGCGTTCGAAAGTGCGTGTTTCGTTTTACCAAGGAGCAAGACCGCAGTGTCTCTCCCCGCCGCCGCAAGCGACGGATCCTGATTCTCACATTCTCTACGCTAGCCTACTATCAGCAAACTCCGACATGGGTGAATACACCGTCTACAATAGGCAAATCAGGTAAGTTCCAATTGAACTAATGCCCTAATTGTCCGTCTTCAATTGTTCTTAATGTCTTTATTGATCTAATTTAGTAATGATATAATTGGATTCATTTTGCTATGTGAGGAAGTATAAGAATTATAAGCTTCTGGTTATGAATCCGTTTGGGTAATGTTTTATCATTTACCAATACAAATGTTATTGATATCAATGATAGAGTACTGCACTTCTTATATAATGGACCATATCACAAATAGATTGTAATCTATATACTCTTTGAGTGGGTGTATACTGTTGGTAAAATACTCCGTTCACCTTAAAATGATAACAATGTCATACATGCTTTGTGTTGGTGGGGAGCGTTCAATTCATTTCATTACAAATACATTGTGACGCAGTTTTTCTGTACAGTACAATTTGAATGACGACATCCAAAATGAATTTAATTTGGAACACTTTAGTAGTTTATCGTTTCATCTTCCAACAATGTTTGACTAAAATGTAGCCAGTTACATTGTGATAATTTCAGTTCCATTATGATGTATTACCATGTAATTACTTAACATACATTTGATTGGAACTAGTAACATTTTAAACATATTTAAACAAAAGTCCTATTAATTTGAAATTTTATTTGGATTAATGCTTGTTTGAAAGTATTTCTAGAACAGCCCAACGGATCTTGATGAAATTTTGTATAGATGTAGAACTCGGTCTGGAGGGATACATAGGCTACTTATTAAGTTTTTTTTTAATTTTGTGCGGACGGAGTCGCAGGCGACAGCTAGTAATAAATATTTATTTTTTATGAAATGGAAAGTTAATTTCGAAATTCAAATGATTGACGTTAATTGCTTTGTTTTGTATAAGTTATTTAATTACTTGTTTGTATTTCAATCTTGTCAAGTTTCAAATTACAAAACATGGACAGGTTGATATTTAATATTTCAAATTGCGTTTCAGTAAATCATCTATTTTCATTCAAGGTTAAATTTGTCGAGATTTTACAAGAATGATAAATCGTTTTTGTATCGTATATTTCCGACGAATGACATATGATTTGAGCCCAAATAACTACGAATGAATATTGGATAATGAAACTCATAAAGGTTGATATGAAATGAGTGTTACCAAGACTCATTTTATATTCTATAATTATAGGCAACTATTTAAAATTCAGACAGTGTTATTACATTTTAGATTAATAGAAATTATGATTTTCTTCTTGATGAAATGCATCTTGAAAATAAAACATGGTGTTTACGGAATAACGGAACCAGTTTTGACGAAGTAAATATTTAAGGCTAAAACATACTGTGTGATAGCCGTGTTGACGTTTTTAATATCAATCAGGGGTGATCTAAGGGTTAGACACGTGATTTACTGTGTCTATCAGTGTTTTTTCGACTAATACACATAGGTTAAAAAAATCTACATATGAAATCATTGATCCTTCATATTAAAATATTGTCTTTGCTTTAATCTCCTGTACGAAAAAAAGAGATAATATTATTTAGTCCGTCAGCAGTTGAACATAAATTTACGCAAATATGTACCACATAAAATGTAAGATGACAGAAAATATTAACAAGGACTTGGCATTGTTAAGTCGTAAATGCTATTTAAATGTTTGACCTTGATGGATGTACGCAGTTATTCAATTCGTAAGGAGGGAAGTAATTGTACTGATTAACTCATGGGTTCTGCCACTGTTACATCATTTAATTGGTACTTTGATGGATAACATTATGTAATCTTGTAGACCAACTTCTTTTTAAATTTCTGTCCAGGATTTAACTTACCTTTATATTTAGTCATGTCTTTTTAAACTAAATAGTGTAGACTAATATTTTATTTCTATTATGTTACAGCACTGAAAGCGGCTGGGACAATCCCTTCCGTCCGGATGGTGACTTGAGCCGCGAAGCTGATGAGATTGTGTCCCTGATCAAAGGTGGCAAGCCTATCACGCCCACGCCCACAGCTGAACCCGAGTTGCCAGTTAGTGATGAGGAGGAAAAAGTGCATGCAAATAATGTCAATGTAAGTATTTAAAGAGCTATACAAACTTTATGGTGGAGCCACATGACTTAATTAATTGTGAGATGCAGTTAAGTTAAATATATAAAAAGAATTAAATGTTATTGATCCTATCGATATGGTTCTTTTAATTGCCTTCAAGTAAATAAAAAAAAAACTCCTTATTGCTTTATGTAGAAATTAAAACAGTTCTTTGAGATGTAAGAGCCATTTTTGTGACGGTTTAATTAAGTCTCATTGCAAGTGGCCTATTTCAACTATCTCGAAACAAAACTAGATTAACCCAGTTTACAAGGAGTAGTTGGCTCAAAATTTTGTTTGAATTATTTCGTTCTAGGGACAGTTCACTGTGATACTTCTGTCATAATTATCCAGATCAAAATTATTTTATACTAGTTCTTACCCAAAATATCCTAACAGTAAAATTTTAAAAAAAAAGTTCTAGTAATTAATATAGCATAGGTTACTTAGTGAAACTGTACTACTGCTTTTTAATAGAAAAAAAAATTGTCCAGTAGATTTTATTTTATAAGGCTTGTAGAAAGATTTGTAAGAATACTCTAGCTCTATCCCACATAGGAGAATTGTGAGGCGATAAATTATAATGAAATTTTGATCTGACAGGCTAGTCCGCCATCTTCCCCTCAAACGAAAGTGGCAAGCCCCGTGCAGCAGAGTCCACCGAAAGCTATGAACGGCACTAAGAATGGTGCCGCGGTGCCTGAGGTGCACCCTGGGCAAGTTGAGGTGCAACGCTCGCCGCCGCAGGAGCCCCTGCAGCCAGAACACGTCACTATCAAGAAGAAGCCTAAGTGCAAATGCTGCGTTCTTCAGTAAACAGCCCCCTTTCGCACCGGTAACACTTGCTTATACGTCTAGCATTATATCCCCCACTTTGGTGTTTACTCGGTGCTATTTCATTTTACGATTTCTCTAATTGCAACTTATCGAAACATATATCAGGAAAGTATATGTGTTCATTGTACAATTTACATATAACAAAGTCTGGCCTCTACTCTCATACATTGATATTTTTGTTAATTATTTCATTAGTGAATTTTTGAGTATGTAGCAGGTCAAATATTTACAAATTCTAACATTTATGTTAGTGACCGATGGTTTATATTTATTGCCCTGAATCAAGCGGCGCATTATAATAGTTATCTTCACTAAGTATTTGCGGCCTAACGCTTTCTTTACATACATATTCCTTTTACATATGTCTGGGTAATATTTTGTTAACAGAAATAAGTTATTTTAAAATATTTACGAAATTGGCTGCGTTGCTAATCCATTTTATTCATATTTTTTTAATTATTTTGTGAAATTGAAATAAAACCTTCTCATAGAATATTCCATCTCAATTGTTAAATTAAAATGTCTTTAGGATTATGTATGTAAACAATGCAAGTGTCGCCTACATCAAGTTTGTGATACATTCATATATTTTAGCTAGTTTCGCAAAGAAAGAGGGAAATGATGTTGCAAGCTAACGATCCTGCGGAGGGCAATATTAAAATGTGACTTTGGGAATGTTTAAAAATCACTAGAGAATCTCAAAATATCATTAGATTGAGATGAGAAATGGTAAAGTAAAAAGATGGAGAGAAACAAAAATTCTTATTATAAAATCATATTTACAATAATTTTTAAAGTGAATATGCCAATTCTGCTCATTTCAAAATGATTGCAACATATTTAAATTATCTTATTTTATTTAAAAAAAAAAACAACATAATAATTTATTTTAGAACTGTTGCTAAGTTGAATCTGTGTTGAATAATGTTTAAAAATAATTTAAATGTATATTTTTATATGTTTATTTATAAAAAAAAAGTATTATAATCTTGAAGAATGATTGAGCTATAGTATTGGAAACATATAAATGACTGAAATAGATGCTTAAACTGGAATAGACGCTTTGTTGTGTTATTTTAGTATCTGTGAAATTCCAATAACAGTTGTATTGAAACATATTATCATAGAGTAAAGAGATGACATATGTTTTTAAACAAGTGTTTCATAAGTGGAAACAGTAAGGCTACTCTTTTACAATAGAGTTATTAATGATTGAACTGGCTATCTTATACCATATCATGTTGACGCTATTCTTTGAATAAAACACTATATTTTGGGGTACAATTTTAATTCCATTATAATTCATAAGTAGATCTGCTATTAATAAATAGTATTTTAACTGATATTTGAATTCTATTTCACATTTAGACGGCTTGGTGTTGACAAAACAAACAAGCAAATAGATTTTCTATGGCAGCTACTAACTAACATTTATTCTACAAATATAATCTTATCCATATATTAATGGAGTATATCTTCATGACTTATATATATTAAGATATATTCGACAAAAAAAATAATGTTCTTGTATGTCACAGTTATCGCTGTTAGATGGTAACCATACTGATTAAGATATATGTATATGATTTAGATTACCTATATATAGCCATTTCAACGTGACTTCACGCTTGCGTCCAATAGAATGTACACGATTTTTTTTTCATAAATCTGATCACCTAAATGGATTAAAATTTTATATGTAGCTTTTTTATTTTAGCATATGATCCTTATGTGTACTGTTTAGTCGCAAGTGACAAGGATAGGGGTGCTCGATCGGAATGATATTGGTAAGGGTAACATTGTCGTATACTATAAAAACTGCATTACTCTATATTTTTAATACATAAACATCACAAAAGTACATAAACGTACATAAAATGCTTATCTAAAATTATTTTGATAATAATGAAAGTATTTTTTATAGTTTTTCACAATGTTTAAATCTGGGTAAGTAGTAAATTTTTTACGCATGTGGCGATTTACAGTATGGAGATAGGTTTAATATGATTAATTTACAGATACCCAATTTCAATTGACTGGTACCCTAATGTATACAGTTCAAAAAAATGTTTATAACTTCTGTGAAAACTCTCTGTTACGTAAATTGTAATAATAAAATAAATATTATTTCAAATCCAAAATTAATAAAGTAGAATGAAAATTGGGGATTGGTTTTATTTTAAAGTCAAAATTAAAACATCCTATGTAAAAATATGTATGCATATATTAAATGTTTAGATGTGCCCCTACAAAAGGAATAGCGTTAGTAAAGTAGATAGGTAATTAGAATGGTATAGTTAGGTGATCCACAATTATTTTGTGTTTGTTATTGATGTTTTACGATATTAAATTATTTTTACATTTTCGTTTTGATTTTTATAGTTTTCGAACAGCAAATTTAATGAAGACAGTGCCACATGAATGAATGATGTATGCAGGCTCTAGCGCAGTTAAAAAAAAACATATTAAGATTAGCTTTAGACGGAAAAGTAGTTTTTCAAAAGCTCAGCTATGTTATATTAGAAAAACTGTAATTCACTATCAAATTTTTTGATGCTTTAGGAAATGTTCTAAATTATGTTATTAAATATTTTATATCCAGTAAAATTTAGCAACAGTTTGAATAGATGTATTGCACTAGATTTAGACAATTTGTGTAACTGTTTGGCTGTTTGTGTAATCATTGTTATTGCAAACATCATTCTGTAAACATTCAAAAATTAATATAAGTTTTCCTTTTCAACATCCACTATGTGTTATATTTGACACCTAATATGTGCTTATCTATTTTTATATTTTAACATCTTGGTATTTATGATATTACTATGCTCATAACAGTGATTTAAATAATAGTAGAAAACAAATTAATTCTTGTTACCTTACAGGTTATTTCATTCATATAATTTTTTTAATAAAAAATTGTGTTAAAATGAACTGACTACTGTTGGACCGGCTGCATTGGGCACAAAAGTTTGGTCATAATTGCTATAATTTGTTTAATTATGAAGATTTATGTATTTGAACATTGAGCATTTATGTATTTGCCATTTTATTTTATAAAGGTGCTTTCAAGTAGGTGATTATAATATAGGACATTTCTTTATACAAGCTTTTTAAACATTTTTTTAACATTGTACAGGTAATGAACATTTTATCAATGTTTTTTTTTCATTTTAATATAAATTTTTAATATATCCAATGAAACTGACAAACAGAATTACAGTAGAGGCATCTCAAGGTTAGATTAACACATTCAGAGCTACGGACTCTCTTGCTAAATCAATATATTGTGTAGTGGCACTGAAAGTGTTATTGCCTTTTGTTGGCAAAGTATTATAATTCTAGCCGCCTTTTTATTTCAGCTTGGTGTTGTAAGCCATGAGATCCTCTCGTTAGATTTAAGTCAATATTGTGATTAGTTTGTGCATTGTTTAGTTTAACATGGTCTCCGTCTACAATATTGTTTCATGTTGCCATGTTTGTATGTTCCTTAATTAAGTTTTTTATTTTCAAGTAAAATCCTGTCATTAAGGTTTATAATACAGCATTATTTCATTCGATTCAATTGAAAAGGAAAATAATGAAAAAATTAATCATCAATAATGAATTTTCTGTTAACGAGTACATCATTTATAACATTTAACAGTATGTTTAACTGTATTTGTATTTAAAGATATAAAATGACATTATATTTGTATAAAAAAATATTTACTTTCTATTATTATCAATCAATGAGTATGTACAAAATCGATTACATTGTAATTATTATTTATATTAAATCTTTTAAAGGCGAATTACTTCGTTTTATTTCAATACACCTCAAAATTAATTACTAAAGTTATATGTCACTAGTTTAATTTATTTAGGTAGATATATCAGACTATTTATGTTGGAACGATTATTATTTTACTAATATAAATACGAATGTTTGAATGTATGAATGGATGTTTGTTAGTAGGTATCTCCACAATGGCTGCATGGATAGATAACATAGTTTGGGAGAACACATATTATGCCAGTTGTTTTTTTTTTAAATTTCGCGCAGACGACAACTAGTGTAATAATAAAATTGTAGAGCGCTTGTAGCTTTTCTGCTTGTATTTTATGATAGCCTATAGGTACCCCAATATTCGGGAATGACGATAAAAACTGGGTTTCTGAGACGTAATTTCCGTTTACAACATACTGTTTTCTCATTTGTCAAAGACAATGACAGGGATGACGATATTTTAATAGAAACCAACTGGTAGGTAATTTTTTAAGGAAAAATACCATATTTGAAAATACAAATAGGATCGTTAAAAAATATATTAAAAATAATCTTTGTAAAATGTTTTCCTGTTGTCGAGTTGTTTCTCTTTGATCGGGTATTTCACGATTGAGGAAAAGTTATAAATAAAACACAAGTTTTTACACGATATTTGATACGTAAGATACATTTTATTAAAACATGTACATTTGTATAAAAAAAAACATTACGATAATCAGTCCTATACAGTCGTTTTATTTTCAAAAAGTACATTCGAAAAAATCTGTTTTTTGAATATATAAAAGATACTTAATGTTAAGGACATTTAGTGCAAAAATACAATAATTTTGTATTAACATTGGTTTTCACTGCCGAATTCCTAAATGAGTATACGTATATCGGATTCTATATGACGGACAGTGAAAGCCTATGTTTATGTAAAGAGAGAAATGATTGCTATACAATTTTTTTATCGATTAGAGAATTATTAACATTAATTATGAAACAAATTGGTTTCAGTTAGGACAATAATTCATCAATTATTTTATTAAACATACATAGTGATTATATAAATATATATACAATAAAATACATAGTACGTTTATGTGATGATTCAATAATATATTAAAACAAATAAATATGGAATGTTAATGAACTTTTGATATAAATATTCCATGAATAAATTTACATCACGCACTTTTGACAAAGGTAAGTAATTTGTAATCAAACATTGTACTTATTGTTTTAATTTTAGTGCCCTTAAAATATTTAATTCCAACGCCACAAATATGTAACATTAGACTAAAATATTAGTAATTATAGAGGGGTCTATCACGAATACTTACGACATGCGTCTTCGTAACAACATAGATAAAAAATATCAAAATTAGTGCGAGATTTGTTGGTGTACTTAATGACCGGTGCGTTCTTTTAAATATTCATTCTAGACCCTTAGAGTATAACATATGGCCACTTGTATTAATATATTGGGAAATCTGATCGAGTCAAAGGGGCGCTACTATCGCGGTTACTTGTCAGAAAAGATGTTAACCTTCATAGGCATAATAATAACATAGAAGAAAAAATATGGCAAGACAGCTTACTATAGACCAACGATATCTGACCCGGTGGGCATAAATCAAAGTAAATTATTATAGCTTATTTCGATCACCCGTCAGTCAAAAAAGGTCGCAATTTCTTTACAACTGTCATGTCATATTTGGCATGTTTTGTGTCAACCGCGATAGTAGCGCCTCTCTTATTAAGCCGAGACATCCTTTTTTGACCATACAATAAAGGTTCTTGTGATACTATTTGACTAACACAGTGGCGCTAGTGGGTTGTCATAATTTAGTTTGACTTATACCCACAAAAAGTGTGAAGTAATGACAATATATAGTAATACAAGTGTTAGTTCAGTGAAGTTAAGGGAAAATTACCTTGTAGATATGTCTACAGCTTTATTTAATATCAAGGATACATCCATGGGTGGAAAGTTTTGCAGTAGTTTCACATTTGATGCAAAATCACCGCTAAGTAGATCATCTCGTACTAATCTGTTGTGAAAAAAAAAAATTACTAGAATGTTCCGAATTTGACAGTTATCATTTCATAGACATAAAATTTCATAGACTAAAGTCTTTGATATGAGTTACTTTTTAATACTTACTCATATTTCGTTAATATTGAATAGAAAATACTAAAATAATAACGGCTTAAATAAATTTCAATTACTTACAATATCATGGCACAGCATATGTAAATGAGAAAATTAAATCTATGTGGATCCGCGAATAGGGAGTCCCAAAATCTTTCGACGTCAGGCAAAGAAAATTCTTGCGACAGTAATAAAGTTAGCCATCTGAAAAACAAAATGTAAGTGCATATTCAAACTTATCTCTGAATAAGCTTTTAGTTAAGCTGACAAATTAATTATACTTTTAAAATTATGACATTTTTACCTAAAGCTGTAATACTGCGGGCGGAGTTCCTGCCTCTCCATACGATCCCAGACGACGCGGTCATTCCTCTTGACGCATTCACTCAACTTGCTCATCATATAATTGATACCACTCTCCGCTTCGTCCAATGTACGTATGAAAAAGTCACGAATTTCCGCCATGAGATTCGTGAAACAAAAGAAACAGTCGGCCTCAGCGTGTTCTATAAATAAAATGAACATATAAACACATTCAGTGCCATAGACAGATAACACAAAATAACAGTGGCGTGGAAAGGGTTAACTGGTTGAATAGAAAGAAATAACTTAAGGGAAGAATAACTAAAAGCTCTAGTAGATGGCGCTAGCGTTAAGTCAACTGTCATCTGTCAAAGTATTAAAACGCCATGCTAATTAATACAAAAAATATATTCCTTATTTATTTTACTAATTTAACTATTTAAAAAAATTCTCATTTTTAAATGTTGAGTAAAATTAGATGGTCCTTGTTATGACTAAAGTACTTTGTATATAAAGTAGATTATTTTTTTTATCTGTGGTATATTTACTACTACAGTGCTGACATCTATAGTAAGCAAAATGCATTTTTTCTTATCAGTGGTGTCTTTTATAGGTTATATTTTCTTCTGAAGGTATAGTCCGATGATCTACTGACGGAGTGAAATGGCTTATCTGCAATCTCTCTTCAATCAAATATATCCTTACCTCTATACTCCTTGTTAGCATCAATAGCAAATGTATGATATATAGGCCCTATAATTTCATTCATTCCTTGGACATAACCTTGTCCGGGGTTCAACTTGGCGTACAAGAACAGCATTCTTTCCACAACCTCCCAATGTGCTTCGCAACCTTCGTTCAATGGAGCATAGTCACCCGTAGTAATACTTTCTGAGCGACGTATTTCATTGCTAAGCTGAAAAAATTAAGAGTAAAAATGACACATTAAAGTTTGATAAAGTTTTATCGGAAAGTCATGTTATGATTAATTTTGTAGTTATAAAATGTTCTGTGTTACGTCTTATTTTGTATCTTAACTAGATAACTATAAATTTAAGCTCTAATAATAATAATTCATATTTATAAAATGACTACATATTTTTATGATAAAGGTAAAGATGTGAAGTTCATAGAAAGGTCTTACTAATTATCAAAAACATTACAACACATTAATTTTAAATGATGTCACACTTTTATTAATATTGTTGAATGTGTAATTTCTATTTTCATTATTTAATAATCACTTTTAAAAATCAAATTAAAAGTGATAACGACTTTAAAATGTTTTAAATTATTAGGTTAATAAAATCAAGGAGAATTCTATTGTATCAGCTTTATAATAAATTTTGTAAGGAATTAAAAAAAAAATGATATGTAGAATAAATTTTGGGTTTTATACCTTTGCAACACCAAGGCCACGCCGTTCCAACGTAGAATATTTTAAAACAGATTGTTCAACTCTTTTATGCAATCTTTTAACTCCATTGCTGTTCACAATCTAAAAAATGAAAAGATATATTGATGATATTCAATTGTTGTCATCAACCTGTGTTACATTAGAATTTACAAAATGTTAACTGTATTAGATTTACTCCCCCATTTTGGAAATTGCAGCAACTTCTATTTATATAATTTATCTTACCTCAAGACAAGGGAATTCTGTTGCCGATTGAAAGAAAGATATATCAGGGCACAGTCTCCTGACATCCTTGTCAATTTGTAACAGTACTTCATTGTCTTTGAAATAAGTACTCCATGAGCTATCCGGGCTGATATTCAAAGGATGATCGGCTGGACCACCAGGAGAGACAATTATCTCATCTAATCACAAACAATCATTTTATTAATAAATCGTAAGAAAGAATTATGGCTATTCTTTAAATGATCTTTGGCGTTACATTGCAGGCTGAATTAGAAAATTACGTAAGAATGAGTTTACTAAAAAAATACCAGTTTTTTTCCTACAATAAAATTCGTCGATTTAAGGGTAAAGGTAATTAAAAAAGAAATATTATGGCCATACCAATAAATTGCTTGTAAAGTTGACGTTTTTTGAAAAGTGTAGATTCTCTTGAAGATTTCTCTTTGGGTACATAATGCAACAATATTCTCCAAACTAACGAACGCAATCCTTTATCATCAGGTACACCTATAAAATAACATAATTTTAATTATTATATTTAAATAATAAAATCAATGTAAGTTTTTCAATTAAGCATTGCTAAAATAATGGACAGGTTATGATGGAATTTTGTTACGGTATTTTTAGGATATCAAAACAGGATAATTTTATGATTTAGTTTTTTACATTACTTTTACTTTGGGATCACAGTGTAGGTTTTAGGTAATTTTATTAAGATAGACCATATGTTATCTATATCAAGCTGTTTTTCCAACTGTGGATGCATTCCGATTTCAGAATCATATTTTTTTCAATTTCAATTTCGGCACAGTCATTAAAAACGTTGACAGATAATAGACATCTCTTGGATCTTCCGCCACCTACTCAGAGCTTTAAATTTTTTTAGCTCCTCATTTAGAAAACAAGCACATAAGTCACATAAAATAAGTTTTACCATTAAATGCCAACTTCTGCAGTTCTTTAATATCAATAACATCTTGCTCCAAAATTTCTTCAAATGCTTTGATTCTGTAAGGAAATAATAAATGTTACTATAAATCTTTAAATTATCACTTGAAATTAGGTAAATACTAATAAGATACAGGTTGCAATGCTTAAATATATTTCAAGCACATATTATACAAAAGAATAAGCTGGAAACTGCATATAAGGATTATAATATATTTATATTTGCTAAACGAATACATTTTACTTAGCCAAGCTTGTGATTATAATTATCACCTAATAGAAAATAGTGTGTATTGCTTTAATTTTATATGAATTAGCAAGAAGTGTAGCAAGTTTTATATTGTGCAAAATAATAATACTCATACTAACATATGGTACATTTTAATGATTTTTTTCAAAAAATGATAGAATTCTGCAACTTGATCCTCTATTTATTTCATAGACCTGTTGCTAAACATAATAATGGCACACAATTTAATGATTATTTTTAATGGAATGATATAATTATCTTCCAATTTCCTAATATATGGGAAAGTAGCACGCCCCCAATTATTACTTTAATTAAGATTCAGCCTGTATAGTGTAAATATTATTTGATTAATTATATACATTTTATTTTAACATATATTACGTTTGTTAATATATCGTATTATTTAATTTATAAATATAAATGACAAAATAAGTATACCTTGCTTTGTGTAAACTCATTTCATAACTCAACTCTAAATTATGATTATACTTGCATAAACACTTCCACCTTAGCGAAATCTTTTCTCTTAGTCAAACTAACTTTACGTTACGACTTAAAAAAATACTGCAACTTCTGTACGGCACTGGATTAATTTGTTAAATATGTTGAATTATTTTAAATGAGAAAATTACAATGCAGAATAATAAAACATACACAGATCAAAATTACCATGGGCTAAGGTGGGTGGGGGTTAAGATTATGTGGCTGGCTGGCACCATAACTGTCACTGTCAGATGACAATTTTTGCGAATATCGATTTATCTAAAAGTTAAGAATCGATTTCAGTTACGTCTTTGTTGAGTAAAATGAGTTGTTGTTCTTTTATATACTGTTTTTTTTTTTTATTTTGACCTTACGTTAAAAAAAAAAAACTATGATTTTACTGTTTTATTATCCAGTTTTCACATTTTGACCATTTTGGCTGAAGTAAGATAATGTTGAAGAGTAGAAATATTAGATATTGTAGATATTGTTTTTTTTCGATGGTGTTTTTTTTTTGTATCAGTTTGTATGTTTTAATAACAGAGGACAGATAAAGTTAAATAATGTTTAATCTTCACTCACATGCGCAATGAAGCTCGTATAGCATTTGAAACCTATTTTACATTACCATTAATATGTTGAAACGTTTATCTTACTATATTTCACTAATATTACAAATGTAAAACTTTGGATGTATGGATGGATGGATACTTGGTTAGAAGGCATTTCCAGAAAGATTCAACGGATCTCGATGAAATTAGGCACAAATGTAGGATATAGTCTGGAAGAACATTAGGATGTAATAGCTACTTACTAAGTTTTTTTTTAATATTGCGCGGACGGAATCGCGGGCAATAGCTAGTTATGTAATAGGAAAAAAATACTTTAAAATTATTACTTTGACTTACCCTTTAATTATTTCAATACACTTGTCCATTTCACTTAGATCGTAACCGGCCCCAAACTAAAAATAAAAACATATCTGTCGTATCGCGATTCGCTTGCTTACAGAATGGCCATTAATTATACGACTATATGTTATGTAAACATAAGGAATAGAAAATCTATTATGAATACGATACTTGAAAGTATCGATAAAAGAGCAATGTCTAACTTTTCGCCTATGGAATATTTTTGAAAGTCAATAAAAGCAATAGCTGCACATAGAGTATTAAATAGAACCCCTCCTAACAGAAATGATGCCTCTACATATATATCGGAGTGAATACGTAGGGCTGCCTCGCACAGCAGGCCTAACGTGATGATCGTGTAGCTTCCGTATACGCCTGTTTTTACAAATTGACCGATAGCTAGTAAATTTAAGCTTTCAGAATTAAGAAAGTACGCGATAAGCATCATGATCAAAACTGCGCCACGCAGAAACATTTGCAAGATTTCGTAACCCATTAAGCATTTTTAATTTAACCGGTGTGGTGGAAATATATACTTTTAGCTATTATATAAACTGATACTTTAAAATATTGTGAGTTCCATAAAACAGGACTTTAATGACATTATGCTTGATGACATGAATAATCAAACTTCTCCCAGAAAAGATAAGAAAAATGATTCACCTGTAGATAAAACAGAACATGAGGAACTTTTTTATTTTTACAAGAGTTGTGATAAATTAATTTTATTTTTTCTATGTTAGTCACGATACGCTTTTTTATATATTTAAATGAATATTTTTAGAAGTTGATCTTAACACAGTTTTTGTAATAATGAAATTCGAATTAACGAAATGACAAAAGCCTAGAAGTAACACCAAATGTCAATTGGCAGCGTAAAGAATTTTATAATGGTTTATTCAATTAATTTACTTTGATTTTAGACTTTTTAAGAGCCTATGCAATACAAATGTCTCTTATTTTCTTATTTTCACTTTTAATTTTATATGGAGTTGTATACAGCGATGAGAACAAAACGCAGAGCAAGGTGGATTATTGCTTACATCCAGACTGTCCTATAAAAGATCAGCATACTTTGTGCGCGGCAAACAATAAAGCTAGTCGTCGTTTATACGTCTCTGGAATGACAACTTGGATGAGGTACCAAATATTGCTGTTACATAATAGACACAGGGACAACATCGCCATGGGCCTCGAAGCTGCTCAACCGCCAGCTACAAATATGAGAAAATTATATTGGGATTACGAACTTGAGGAGATGGCCGAAGTTTGGGCCAGACAGTGTCAAAAGCGCCACGATGAGTGTCGAAACACAATAAGATTTAACGCGTTGCAAAACATGGACGTGCGTCCCGTGGTGCCCAGGGTGACGGAAGCGCAGTTGCTTGCGGACGCTGTAGGGGCATGGTTCTCCGGTTCAAGATCTTTACAACCAGAGAACGTATGGTCATTCAAACTCAGTAATTGCAGCGCACCGGGCGGTTGTAATGCTCATTGGTACTCGGCCGCAGCGTGGGCTTCGACGTGGAGATTAGGATGCTCACAAGCTCTTTGTACAGTTCGGAAACCATCGTGTGTTCTTTTTCGTAAAAGGAGACGAGCACGACTATTTGAAGCTAATGATATGAAAGCTACAACTACATCGACAACAACAGAAAATATTCTTCGTAGGACAAGATACATGACATCTGGACAAGCTTCCCGATTTGAAGATTTTGCGACCACTATTAAAGACAATAATGTGGAGTCCCCTTTATATCGTGGTTCAATGGATAACATTTCGAAAAAGAAAAAACGAAGAGATCTAAAAATCATTGCTTTCACATTCTGTAATTATGGTCCGGCAGGAAACATAGAAGGTTTTCCAATTTATGAAGCCGGCACAACTTGCGCCAATTGTCCCCAAGGCACTCATTGTCGGGATCGAACCCACAGAGCGTTGTGTTCCGTTGTCAACGATCCGGACGGGCAGAACAAATTGATGGACACTAGTTAAGATATTCAATACTTCGTTTCTTCCTTTTATTTTGATATTAAAATTTTATTATAATACACTTCCAGCGTTTTACTCGATAAACCTTCCTTGTAACGTAAGTAGTGGAAAAATATAAGTTAACTCGATTTAAGTCGCTTTTGTATTTCTAATTAATATATGAATCAGTCGTGAGATTTCTTTAGTGTACATTTTATGTTTATTTTGAAGTTCCAATCGTTAACATAGTATTAAGATAAGCGTTTAACCGTTTTTGGTACCATCCGTGTGAAAAGGTCAATTTTAGATAAAAAAAATAGTCTCCAAATTATGGGACGGCAAAAAAATTTAATTGAAGGTTTATAAACTTTTTTCTTGAATAGCCATAAAAAATTAAAGCTAGACAGATTTATCGACATGGTGACTTAGACGTCAATTGATATTCGATTTGATAATAAAGTTTTGTGGAAAAGTAATCAAGTATTTTTGATAGCAAAGTATATAAAAATAACTAGAAATGTTGTCCGCTGCAAAAGTCCGCATTCATGGAATGCAAGATGAGAATTGGGTTATTAAGGACAAAATCAACCAGTACCGTGGACTCATCAAATTGTATGGTAAGAAATTTGATGTGTTTATTAAGAATAAGCCAATAGTGGAGGGATGAAGGTGAAATGCGATATTAAAGTGTGTTTGTAACCAATAACCATGTTAATTCTCTTGAAATAGGTTCCATCTTATACGATACGAGACTTATCATAGTATTCATTTATATATTTTAACTTACAAACGTGTACAGGTTTTATATTTGACGTAGTTGTAAAACTTGTCCTGCAAGAACACATGGGCTACTTATTAAGATTTTTTTCTTTATTCCGCGCGGACGGAGTCGCCGACGACGGCTAGTGTTGTAAGTGGTTTCTATTATTATGATTATGTATTGAATAATGTTGCGATATGTTCGCAGAAAGAGATCGCAAAATTCATGAAGGCGACTTGGCAAAGCAGAAACGACGATATTTACGTGATATCCGTCAACTACGGAAAGACATTACAACAAAAAGGCAAGAGCTCGGCGTGGTGGTGTACGGTGACAAACAATTCCTAAGAAATGCATTTCAGGAGCATAGACGTTTGCAATTAACTTATATGAACAGCCAAGCAGATGTGAGTTTGCAGTCATTACTTTTTAAAATTTACGCTTTAAACAGATTTCTTCCGAAAACTAATAATGTTTTTTGCCAACTAATTTTCCAGAAAGTCTTGGAGAGTATACATCAAGAGAATTTTAACAAAAGGAAGCAACTAGATCGCATAAGATACACGAAGAAAAAGAAAATGGAAAAGTTTCGTCGAATACAGGTTACATAAGCTAATGAATTTAAAAATAAAATTATTTTATTAAACCAGTATTATTTTTCAATAATTTTGCACGTGGCGTTAAAATGATTTTAGCTAGCGTCAGCGGAAATTCGTGATCGCTTATTATACGAGATGGGCGGAAAACTACCAGCCGAGAAAAAGGAACAAGCGGTCGCAAATTATGTCCAGCGTGCAAACATAAAAAAGAACGCCGCTCTTGCTATTAAAGTCATGTATAAGAAGATTTTAGATATTCTTAAAAAGGTTCTTATGCTTTTTTCTTCATTAAACACTTTTATATAGCCTTTAATACACGTTCAAGCATATAGTAAATTATTAATGTCTTATTTGCTTACCACTTAACATGGAGATGGTGTGGTGGCTTCTATTATCGTATCACAAGTCAATTATTTAAAAAATATATTCATGTAGGATTCCTCATACTTCACGGTTGTTCTGGAAGCTCTGAAAGTAGACTGTCGTGCTCAAGGCAAATGCTTAATGGGTGCAACTGAAATGGGGCAACTAGCTATGGAGTACTTGGACGACAGGAAGTTCGAGTTTAACAAATTGGAGAAAGAGATAAAAGCAAACATGAAAGAGAGGGAACGTACTTTGAAGCTTGTGCGCCGGGAAGTCGCTTACTTAACTGATTCTTTTCCTAATTTAATCCGTAAAGAGGTATGTTATTATAACACGCTATTGTATTTTATCCATTGCCAAATATTAAAAAAAGCGTCTGATTATCAAAGAAACTAATTAGTTTATTTCAAAATTTTTGATTTAATGTACAAATTTGTGAAAATTATCGAAATCGAAAATTTTTCTGATTTAATTATATTTATATTTTTTCACAATTGTGCCTATATTTGATTACGTCATAACATAGTATAGATAAATAACCGCAATAGAAGTGTTGGTGGTTATCTAAGCTTCTGAAACTATCTAATCACTAGTCGTCTAAAGGAAAATTGAATTGCAACATTCATTTATTTTATGATTGCCTTGTTATCACTTGGATTCATTAAGGGGGGGCAATTATTAAATAAGTATAACCAATTTTAGGAAGCAACAAATCTCGATGAACTTTACGAAGAACAAGAGAATGTCAGTCTCCACTCTGTGCATTGGGAACTCGAAGAAGTGATGAGCATTTGCAAGAACCTTCAGCGCGGAACATTGGTGTCGGCATTTGATCAAATACTTCTTAGGTTAACCGACTTTATATTTTTTTACGAAGTTGTGAATAATACCTTTCCTTTTTGATCCGACATGTTCCTTTTTCCAACATGTTCCTTTTTCCAACCTTTATGACGAAACCAATATTTATTATAATATCTGTAAAATGCGAGCGTAATAATCATAATACGTACTAAATACCTTTAACTCAATTGTGATAACTAAATTAATACTAGTAGGTCATTGTTTTCTTGATGTTTTAAGATTAAAGGAACAACAATATCAATCGGAACGTTTGATGACGCAGTTGACACAAAATAGTATGAAGAGGAACGCGTTGATTGAAGACCGTAAGCACGCTATACTGATGCTTGATTCATTGAAGAATGTAGGACAGGAAACAACGGCACAGTGAGTACTTAACAAATATTCAAGGTGAATTATGGTCAATTTCGTGAAGAAACTAATTTGCTTTGAAAAATTGAACTAAAATAGGAATAGAGAAGCATTATTTTAATAGCACGCAGACATGGAAATTTTGTAATAGGATTAACTTTTCCATCACACCATATAAAATATAAAACTGTAATTTATTGTTACTTCAAATACTCAGTTAAATATAATAAAAAAAAACAGATTAATTAAGAAATCGATTGGACTTTGTACAATTTTTTAGGTATATACTAGAGAAAGATCATTTGAAATCATCTTTAGAAGCAGAGGTTCGCGAAGAGAAGAATCTTAAGAAAGCTTTAGATGAAAAGGGTCGACTTATTATTGAAATGAAAACATCGTTACAACAGATAAATCAATTGCTATCGAGTGTTGGTGAGTGGCAATGTTATTCCTTATAGATCTATGTCAATTGTAGTAAAAATGCAAAGACATATTGATACTTTATCACGGTCAGTGTGCTTGCTGGCTTGACGGTTTAAACATTACACCAATGGACACAGACCATTTTGTATTAATTGGTGTTTCTAATGAAGATAGTACATATAGTTCCTTCTTCAAAAATGTAAAGAAAATATACTTAGGATTTAATTCTGATGTTTAATTTGGTTTAGGTGCTCCGAATGTCCCTAGATCACCGCCAGCAGTTCCTGCAGCTATCCAATACGCGATGGATGAATCTATTCAACCCGTCCCTGAAGTGGAAGCTGATTGTAAGTAGTGGTATCTTCATTTTACTGAAGTTTCTTGGTCAGTATACAAAATTTTTGCTGCAGTATTTTGAATTAAACAATATTGTATCTTACAGTCGACAAATTGGTCTTGAACGCACGACAGAAGTTGAACGTTTTGATTCAGGCGATAGCTAAAATGGAAGTAACGAGTGAAATTCGTGCAAATGCCAACCTGTTCTATCACAACATACTGGCGAGGTCTATGCGCGACAGTTACAAGGATGAAGTTGTTGCAGAAGGAGGTTTGTTTGGACTTAAATATCTTTTACTCAATATCTGCCAGTGCGTGATGTTATCTAATCTTTGATCTTTCAAAAAAATTGTCAATTCAAATTCTAAAGAATGATATAAAATAGTAGTTTCCAAGATTCTTTTTCTGCTACCTCATGCCGGAAATTAGCATTCCTTTTGTATCCTAACTTAAGATAACCGAAACTTTTGAACAATTGGTTAAAGAGACATTTTTTTCCGCAGGCTTGATCGAGTTTGAAATTGAAGATCCGAACGTCCCTAATCATGCTGTTATCAAATTACGTAGCAAACAGTTGGTAGAATCGCAAGTCAGTGAGTTCGATGTACCGGACCAGCCTGCGAAGAAATAGATAGGGAATTTCTACGGGGGCAGAACAACGATGCAGTGTAGTAGAAAAATGCATTACTACTATTGAACTTCTATTATTATATCCGCTTTCGAAATTATCATAGCGTCTTAACCAATGTATACTAGCAGTACTTCAATTATTTAAAAGTAGTCTAATATTTAAATTATTAGATAATTTGTTATTCCTTTAAATTGTTTTGTAGCATCTTGTTTTCTTCTTTATAGTTGTTATTAGATTGGTTTCGTATAAACATAGAGAAAAAAAAATCAGGATTTTTAATGTAAGTTATTGGCTGTATAGAATTTTCTAAAATTTAATTTTACTGTCAAAGTTTGAAAATTTTTTTTCCTAATAAAAATAATTAAGCAGCAAAGATATTTTAATACGTTGCGAATCAAAAAAATTGAACACGTTAAATACAGGGGAAGTAAATATTGAAAAAATTACATTTTTAAACTTTTTATTAAAAAATATCTTCATGAATCCAATAAATTATATACGAAATTATAAAACCGTTGTCCTAAATAGCGTTTAGCTCGTTTTAAACTTACACGCAAATTAAGGTTCCGTAGTTGTTTATATTCCAAATAATTTTATATTCTATTCTACGTTCTAAATAATAATAGCGAAATTAGCAATGCTAAAAAAGTACCTTAAACCCAGAAGCATATATTAATTAAAATTAGCCATATTAGCAATGCTAATAATACCTTAACCCCACAAGCTTAATCTACATGTGAAAGATAATCGAAATGAAGTATCTTTAACTTATACAATTAGAGGAAACTATCAATTATAGTTATAAATCCAAAACAATACTTTTTTTGAAATAAACACGCTCTATATCAACTTTTTTGTGAACTTGAGCGATTTTCTTACACATTTCACAACTTGTTTGTACATTGTCTTTATATTTTCAAATTTATAAGCAAATATATCATTCATCAATTACATATTATTTCTCAATTACACATAGTCAATATGTTTAAAACAGGATATCAAAATTACAGTAGATTAATGATATATAGACCGAACTTTTTTTGATCCGATGGGCATAAAGTAAGTAAAGACCGACAACATTATCTGACCCGGGCATAAATCAACTAAATTATGACAGCTCCCCCTGTCCTGCCTTCAACCTCAAAACACGTCACAAGATCCTTTCTGTACTTTAGCTGTCATACAATTTATTTATTTTATATATCTGTATATGTTTTTATATGGGTTTATATATATTGGAACAGACCTAACAAGTGCCTCAACGGTTCAGATATCTTTGTTTGACTTTAGCAGTAGCTGATGACCGCTCCCTATCAATGACTTGATGATGTGTTGGATGCTATTTTCTATGATTAAGTAGTTTTTACTTATATTCTGACAGACCTCGATAGCTGAAACGCCTCTCACCGGGCCAGATAGATTTATCGGACTATACACATTAATTTCTTAATTGACATGGAAACACACGTATGTATTATGTATATAAATATGAATGTACTGAACTTATAAAATATTAGCTTTTAGCTTTTTAAAACGTAATAGTTTTTATAAAATTGGTTACGCAAAACTTTAAAACGAACAAATTAGTAGTTATTTTAAAAATCAAAATAATATTGGGATTGTAAATAGACAATATTCTGCATCTTTAACTAAGCAGAACGACTCATTTGCATAGCATGACTTTTCCCACTTAGCTTGAAAATTAAAATTTGAATAAGTCTTAAATAGCTCAGCAAAAGAAAACATTGTTTTTTTTTTGATAAAATATGATACGAACAAACTTTCTCGTCCATTCGGCAGGAAATATTGATAAATTTTCGAATTTAGATCGACAAAGCATGAAGGCACTCGAAGCTTTGTAGAAAATAGCATTGGTCGGTACTATGGTTTGTTATTAATATTAAGTAGCCGAAGCAAGAAACCTCTCACTCGGCAAGTTCAACCCCATCAGCCAATACTGCCTGAGGTTGGAAAGAACGTACAATGCTGATAAGTGCAGTGTAAGTTCCAGCTAGCAGTCCAACAATCCCAATGATGAAGAGCAAAGCGTCTTTTAACAGGAGTAACATTGGCTTTTTGGGATACTGTAGGAAAGATTCCATGATGGCCGGAAAGCAGATCCCGAGAGCTGAGAGGCAGAGCGCACCGAACAGTGAGATGAAAAGCCCCAGACGTGGCACCGATACCGCCAATACAACTGGAAATTGTTACATTTTTATGATTAATTGTATACTCATAGATATTAATAGTTAGAAAACGGGCAAATGAGATCTTAATACTATGCGATTTGGTTTGTAACTAGCTGTTGCCCGAGACTCCGTCGTAGCGGAGCCTATGTATGTGTTCTTCCAGACTATATTCTTTATCAATGCCAAATATCACGGAGATCCGTCAAGCCGTTTTGAAGATACCTTCTAATAAACATCCATTCATCCATCATTTGTAATATTAGTAAGATTTGTAAATCAAAATGCTGAAGGATTAATTTCTAATTTGATTCGATTATTACGTTAGGTAAATATCATTGGCAGATTAGGGTGTTTAAAGAGTCGTAGCATTTTTTTGTCGATTATTATTAAGTTATTAATATAAATTCTGTTAAACTTACAAGTCAGAAGGCAAAGTGCAACTCTGAGAGCGTATTCCCAAACACGCAGTTTGTCGGAGCCAGATTTCTCGAGCCATGGCAGAAGGTATCCTTTCCACAGCACCTCCACTGGTACGTAGCAATGTAAGCCGTAACTAATAAAGATGGCGACTGCGAACATAACTATCACTGTCGTTGCCAACCTGCAAATACAACACTAGTTATTTTTGGCTCCATCATAGAACGATGAAGTCCCAAGATCCCATTAAAACAGAACAATAGTGAAACAGAAAGATTAATTTTATTTTTAGACGGTTACCAGACAATAATTTCATAAGGTTTGTTTCATAGATTTTATAAAAATCTTATAAGCTTTGGTAAGATTGATTTAGTATTGTTTGTCTATTGCACCATGGCCTAAGCGTCATTTGTTTTTATTGTCCAGAGGTCGGACTCGGTGATTGAAACTCTTAGGTAATGAGCAAGGCTAGAGGTAATCGATTTCTTCGTTTGGTTCAGAGCTTGTGTCCAGACGTGGCGCCGCATTGGACTTCGCCCTTAGCTATTATACTACAAACATAATCATACGGAATGTGGCACACTGCGCTGGAATTGTTACTGATCTATTATTACGTCATTCTCAATTGGTTGTGGATTCATATTCTGTCATTATGATTTGTTGACGTTTATGTTACGTAGTGCGATTAGAACATATGACATGATGCTACAAAAGAAAACACATAAATGTACTAATTTATACAAAACCAAAACAAAAACATCGTTATTTGAGAATAGTAGACAAATGAGAGAAGATAGATTTGTACGTAATTTTATCCTAAAGGTGTGTGTAAAATACTAACGGGTCCCCCTTCGGTAAGTCCAAGGTGATAGAGTCGCTACAATTCGAGACGCAGAATACGTAACCCAGGGCACCGACTGCGACGTAAAGCAGGACTATAAACGTCATGCCGGTGTTGAGTACGCCGCACGGACGACCGAACGCCTTCGGAGTTTTCATGTTGTTCTCTAAAGCGATCACCTTTAACAAAAAACAAATTAAAGCATCTAGTACTATTGGAGACACAGCAAATGTTATTTAAGAAACAAAATTTGCTTCGCCTAAAAATTTATTATTAAAAGCTTCTTTTATAGGAAAACGCAAAATTCATAGAAACAAATTATTCACAAAAAAACTACGGAAATGAAATTTACCATACAACTAAGAAGATAAAAATCATGATATAGTATTCAATCCATTGATTCCAGTAAAACTTAATGAACATATGCAGGGAGCAAATACGCAACTGTGATTTTAAATAAAGGTTTTTTAATTCCTTATTATGACATTCTCAACGAGTTTGAAGATACCGCAAGAAGGACACCATCACCTTCTTTACCTGCTTATGAAAACCTGCTTCTGTCTCTCCGATTTCTTGAATTGCACTAACACATCGTTTAATCTTGACTAGTAGAGTACAGTAAACTATTCGTAATCTAAGATGGCGGTTGACATATTTTTGTACAACCATCCTCCCATGGGCATCAAATGAAAGGGCTTGACTAGTAGAACACAGTTAACCATATACAAAAACAATGTCCGCTGACATATTTAGGCTACTCTCTCAAATCAAAAGTTATTTTTAAAACTTTGGGATAAAGTGAAGTCATGTACTTTTATGTTTTCGGACTTCAGAGCTTTAGTATAATATGCAGTTTGTTTATGGCTAAGGTTTTTTATTGGGATCCGGTAAATTAAATTTAACGGGAATGGTATACTCCTCGGCAATTGACGCTAGCTCTGGATCTCGTATTCCTTTTACTGGCTTATGTGTGTTGTCCGTGTGAGGTATCTTTCCCATGCACATCGGGCAAATCCAGTCTCTTGGAGGTTTAGTCAACCGAGGAAGACGGACACAATCTTTGTGATAGGTCTGATAACAGTCTATGCAATTAATAACATCGTGACCAACAGTAGTTAATAACTTTACGCAACCACCACACTTCGCCATTTAATACAATTATTGTGATCTCTAAGCTTATTAATCTGTATCACTGATTTATCAACGTACCGTACTCAAAATACCAAATTGGTAAAATAAACTAATTTGGTGGTTGTAGCTCAGTATCCTCTTGCTATAAGACTGCATGAATGCGCGCGCGGGTTCGCGCTTTTATTACACCGTGTAATGTAAAATAAATGTATTCAGGGTACACACAAATCACATATGCAGCAAGAAACAAATCGCTTATAATGAATACATTATACGTTTCCACCACTTCTCATAAAAATTCGCATATCAATGGTGTCACAATACGCCTAAATATAGCAATATACATTCGCAATAGTGTTGTGCATTCGCCATGTACTTCACAAATATCCGCAAAACTTTTAGAAAACTAATACTCACCACACCAACAGCCGTTAGCGCAAACAATATGGTCCCGAAGAATAAAGGAAATGTTTCCGCGGAACCCCACAAGTCTAATGGTTCAGTGGACTTCTCGCCGGAGAGAAGGAAGTAGATAACAATACCGAGTCCCACAAAAGTCATCAGGTTGGCCACCGCAGAAAATGGTGCCAACAATTTGAGACTAGGTATCAAATTGAAAGCAATCAGCGGCAAAAGAATGATTAACATGTGAATTTCGACTGCCATCTCGTAGTAAGGGTCGACCACCTGAAAAATAAGAGAAATTATAATTAAAATGGCCACGTAATGATACTGCGGGAAAAACACTAATTGAGTGAAACTTTACTCTTTGATTTCGGTCAGCGCATTTATACAGTCACAAAAGTAGTTGGGCTTAGGCAAAAAAATGTTTGTTGTTACGCGTGACATATAGTATTTATTATTTTTGTGCTTAGTATTTTTTGTGGTACACAGTAATGGTCGAAATTTCATCATAATATTTTTTGAGCTGTTCAAGCGTCAATTTTCAGGATACTCTGTGTTGTATTTAGATTATCTTTTGACGAAGCTCATCGAATATTTATGTTTTGTCGTCGTTGCTAATGATTATTTCATGAACCACCTCGGAATATAAATTGCCAATACCAACTGAAAATCATATAGACAGGATCACTTACAATAAAATACTGCGCACAGTTTATGTAACATTCTCACCGTGATTTTCCATTGATGAAACATCGGTATAAAAACGTATGATCAACATAATTTGTATTTAGATTTCAAATTCGCCTATAAAAATCAACTTCACATACAACTATATATTTGAACATAGCTTTTATTTAGTAATTAGAAAAGCTTATTTAAAATTTTCTAACCTAAAATATTTCTACAAAAATGTGTCTTCCGTGTCTGTAATACTCGTCACGTATTACGTAACGGTCTTGTGATGTTTCCGCGTATATTTGTGCGAAGGACGCGCTGTCACTTGATGAATATTGACGTATGATGCTAGGACGACCGCTGACCCTGCTGTATGCCAGCCCACTTAACCAATTGTACTGCGCGTTTCTAGCTAGCTATATTATAGAGTATCCGACGAGCCTCCAAACGATAGTCAACGGAAGTTCACCTCGTGTTGTATCAATACGCAATGCGTAGCGTGATTAGCCAATAGAATATAAGATGCGAGCAGCTTTTTTTATGACCAGGTTAAATATTTATTTTTTTACTATCTTCATCAGCTTAAACTAAAGTCTGTATCAGGGTTTCGACTACAGTTAAACTTTATTTACACGTATATTGTTATCTTTAAAAAATCGCATTTCCCTTAAAAAATAGAGCTAGAGAACCCACGGTAAAAACACGAAGATTAATAAATAAGTAGATTTTACCTTCTTGATGTTATCAGCAATAAAAACGATGTAGACGCAGCAAATTCCCAACTGATAGACGACGAGGAAAACGTCTACGGTAATGGCGCAGGGTCTTGCAAAGCTACGGAATGCCGGCGGACCGTTGCTGAACGCCGTAGCCGCCGCGGCAGGGTAGGAAAGCAGGGGTACTTTGAGTTTCTTACACGCCGCGTATTGAGAACGTACCTGGTAAGAACATATTAAAATTAAAATATTGTTACACTAGGCAAAAAGAAGTGACAATAGAGATTGATAGAGACATTAAGTAAATATTTGTGTTGAAACTAATGGGATTATGACAGGAGAAAATTGAATGATGAATAAAAAGTCTAAAATAAGTGTAACACTTACGATGTACGACTTAAAGCACTTTTAAAATTGAGAGAACTCTTTTATCAACACAAAGGTTTTGTGTTGGAAAATATACTTTTTTTTTGTTTTACTTGTCGATCTATTTTTCAAGCTGAAGCGAATTAACAAGGATAATGGCGATAAATAAATTACTATAAGTAAAAGCTAAAATTACTATCCTGATTCAATCTCGACAATCAACGTAAATGAATGAATTGAATCTCGAGAATGAAATTTCGAGATCTATCGTTAGGGCACCGCTTTATTAATTAACATTGATTAATAAATAATATGTAATTTGTAAATGGCCCGTGTGTGTGAATGAGAATTTCTGTAAAAAGTTTTATAGCTACCCGCTAACTAAACTTTTTAGAATGTACCCTCTTTTTTATTAACTTTATAAAGATTGTGTTATCGTTTTTATTTAACCTTTGAATGAATGTATAGTTAAATTATAGTTATTAGAGGACAATATAGCTTTATATTGACTTACGTCAATCGTTCCATAAAAATATAGATAGTTACAATGTATTTCAATGATTTTCAGGTTATCAAATAAAGTTACAAAATAAGCTTAGATATTTAGTAATCATACACATACGTACTGTTATAATTTATCTATAAATATGTATATAAGTAATTTGTTAAAGCAAAAACTACATAAAAATTTCTTTCTTGTCTTTAGCCATAATGAGGCAATCCATCCAATCGTGAAATGTTGGTTATAAATATAATAAAAATAAAAATCAAATGATTAGTCCTGAGAATCTTTGATTCCAACATAAGTTCGTTTTATCTAAAGTTCCAAAGTTCGTTTTACATTCTTTAAATAAGTATCATTTTTTTTCTTAATTGACTTAAATAGTATTTTTTATTTTATTTATATTGCTTGTTTTGTAATACATTTATCGCACTAGAGTAACTCACAGTATAGAACTGGAGTTTTGTATAAGTATTTCAAACTAACCCGTGAACTAGAAACGTCATTCTACGTAGTGGTGACAGTGTAGTGTGAATACTCTGGAGACCTATGCCGTTCCATTTAAACTGTATTTAACGTTTAATAAATAGTTTTATTTCAATATAAATAAAGTAATAGTAATTGTTCATTTATTAGTTTGTCGTCAAGTGAAAACTATTGACGATGGATGGCAGTCTATCCAATCAACGGTCAGACGTTTGCAGACTATTATAGGATATTAATAGTTTGAATTCCTTTATTGTTTACAATTTTCATTCATAAAAGCTTCCTCTATACAATAGTATTGCTTCAGAGGAATCCAAAAACATGTATGTACCTATGAGCAAAACCTAGGGTACAATACCATGCAAACTTTAAGAAAGCTCGCAATTTTGCACGAGATGTTGTGCATAATACTATTTTATGTATCGGCGGGATGTAAAGGTATCCCCCTTGTGAACCTGTGAGTCGGCAGATAACTAGAGTCAGTCTATAAGTTTGAATCTTATAATATGACGTGGATGGTACTTTTTTATTTTATTTATTTAACAATACAATTTTGAATACAAATAAACATATATTTAACGCTAAATAAACCTCATTGGTTTGTTACAAGCGTTAAGGTCTTCCGGACAGAAATGTTTTGAGCTTGCACTTTATGTGACTGTACTTACCAAAACATGGAGGCAATGCGTGACAAGTATGCCAACCAGCACGGTAGCCACAATGCCGGTGACAAGGCCGGCCCGGGCGAACGCCTGCGGCATCGCAAGTATTCCAGTGCCAAGACTGCATTTCAGCAGATGCACTAAAGTCTCCAAGTTGCTGTAATATTGTTTCAATATTAGATAAAGTCAATCACTAAAACGGCTTACATTTATTCTAGATCAGTTTATTAAACGTGTTAAGATAACGAGGAGTTATCTTGGAAACTATAAAATCATAATTAATTTTAGAAGTTAACTTAGAACATAATTTAGAATATTGAAAATTAGACGTAGCAAATTACGAAAATATGGGATAAATCTATTCTTCACAAACAATCAATTGTACTTACTTTGTTGGTTTCTCTAATTGCCGATGTAGATGTGGGTCGTAATCAACTGAATTATCGTCTCTATAAATAACACAATTACATCAAAACGTTTCATAAATATTTGTAAACCTTAAAAGAAACCATTCATTCGGTAGAGTGTTAGCAAATATTTAGTTATTGTGCGCAGCGATGGTATTTTCCATTATTGTGATAGATTGAATGAAAAACAATTTTTTACTATACCCTTCAACTCAATAAGCTAACGATTTGAAAATTCCTATCTTTTAATTTGTAAACATTTAAGGCCACGGGCCACATCTCAGTAAGAGGATTTTCGATATAAAAACGGTCAAACACTCACGTATATTTGTCCGGTGGTGGCACCGACTAGTTTCGAGCCCGTCGGGGGCCGTTCATCAGGATGAGTGGTACTGGTATTATTTCGCGGACGCGGCCCGTAGCTCACTGAGTGAGCCCCGATGGCCTCGAAACTAGTCGGTACCGCCACCGGACAAATATACGCGAGTGTTTAGCCGTTTTTATATCAGTTTATTATAATGTGTCACGAAAGTTTTAATAATTTAATAGGATGATCGATTTTTTTCTGTACAAAACTTTTGTTTTAGTTAGTACTTACTTATCAGGGCTGGCTGGAGCGGTGTTATTTGACGTCGGCTCCAGTCGTATCGTCTCCATTTTATCTTCCATTTTCTGCGAATCTAAGTGAACAATAATAAGACATTTATTTCTCATTGTTTACTTAATAACTTGAATAAACAGAATTCAAAAATGTTAGTTAAATTAAATGAGCTAAAAGCATACAAATACATGAAAACTTTGTTATAAAAGGGAGAAAAGTAGAAAAGGTTCCTTGGATGGAATAATTACTTTATGTATGAGTAAAATATAATAAAAACAGGGCAACATAATTATGACATTAATACCCAAGTGTCAGTGTAAAGACTTTATCAGTTAATATTTAATTTCTTTTATTATTTAACTCTAAAGCAGTTTGACTTATTAACTTCTAAGTTTCTTACTCACTAAAACTTTGTCTTAACTCGTGTTTCAAAATTTATTTCCAATATTAATTTACTAAAAAACATTTGATTGAATAAGTTTCATAATTATTTACCAATACGTATTTAAGTAAATTAAAATATTTATGCTTCTTATTTATTTTATTATATTTATTTGAATACTCTCTTTTTATGATATACTATAGTGATTTCCCCTTCACTAAAAAATTAATAGTCCTCTAAAATAAAGGATGTGAGCATTAAATCAGTGATCCGGCAAATGGTTACGTACGTCGCAGTTAAATCGATACTGACTGCGGATCAAACTTCACAAAGTGAGGGGGAATGTTTTGTTGAATGTTACATACGATTTAAGAATGTTTTCGTGCAACTCTACTATTTGACAGACATTTATGTATATTGACATCTCTTTCAATCTCTGACAAAACGGAGACAAAGTACAAGTGGCAATAATTATACGTTTATCATCGATACTAATGTTCTTATAACTCTGTTGTTAATCTTAGTATTGGAAAATTTATTTTGGAAGCATATAAGCGAGATGTAAAGATATTTTAATATTAAAAAGAACTCTAATCTTTAGTTTGGATTTGAGATAAAGATAGCGATAAAGAGCAAATTATTTTTTTTAGTTTGTTCAAAAGCACAAAGGAAATATTTTTTTTATAGTATAAGGTAAAGGATGTTTAAGACGTACTTTCTAAACTAAAGATGTACAACATATTATTCATAGTACTAACCGCAATCTATAATTATGAAATTGTATATTGCGGTATCGAATCCAGTTAGCGATCTTGTTCAACTGAGATAATTTATTTATTTAAATATTCGAAGAAAATGCAATAAAACTAATCAGTTTACATTCGCCAATCGTGAATTTCCATTGTCAATTCTAAAAAACTGAAATAACAATGTTTTCGAACCAATTGTTACAGTGGAAACTCACACAACGAATATACAATAATGGGTTTGAAAGATTTGGGTCGTAAATTATCTTGTTACACGTGTGTCGTAGTCGAGTTGGTTGCCACGCCTACGGAACAAGCACGATTCGCGGAGTCGGCAGTTATGTAAATAATGCTATTTAAAAACCACGTTACAATAATGAGTTACAGGGACGCGGTTCGGGCGGGCAGGTATGGCGCCAAACGCTCTGATTTTCGCGCGAATATTTACTAAAAGAAATATTTTAAACATTTTTTCTTTCGGCACTTATCTTAAAATGATATTACATCGTTATTTTGCTGAAGTGTATTTTGTATAATTTAATGGCATTTGTTATTCAGTTTATTAACATTTTTGCGCTCATGTATCAAAAGCTTTCTTGAAAGCTTCTTTTATTGAATTAAATTCATTGCCAAAAAAATCTTTCTCTCTCATAAAGCATATATTTTTTAAGCAAAACAAAAAATCGATTCATTTTTTATAAACTTCGTGTTTACAACGACTTTGTGCTTCGGTTTCAAATAGAGCTAATAATATCTTCATAATTTCAGATATTTATGTTTTTACATACTTGTTGTTCTTTTTCTAGGTAGTCAACGTTCTTCTTTTCGTTGTTGATATTCGTTCTGGGTATTCAATAGAAGAGGCGCTCGCCGTCGCGTCGACTGGGGCACTGAGGCAACTCCACTCCAGCGTCCCGACGGCACCCGACCTTCCCCTCTGTCCCCGCTTCACCTCGCCCCGCACATCTTTAATGTGTGCCGTGTTCGATCATCTCATTCACATTCGGGATAGCCATTATGATTTTAAAAACCGGACAGTACTGGTAATTAATCAATAATAAATATAGAAAATGTTGTGTCAGTAAAACAACTTACAGTGAATTTCCACTGTGAACTCTATTGTGATAATATTCACTGCCTTTTCTTCTTTAAAAAAACAGAGATAGCAATAGTGTTCATATACAAATGTTATGCAATTTGAAATTCACATGTCATTTCTAAGCTATGCAGGGACAGGTTTCCGGTACCTGGTTTCTAGTTTTTGTTCCATAAAGGTTTTTAATTTATTTTTATGAGATATATGAGATATATAAGATGATTAAAAAGCACATGTTTAGAATGTTTTACTAACTTCCGTAATTTGATTACTGAAGATCTTTTGAATACAGGTCAATGAAAAGTATCATTAAAAATGTGGTGAAGCGACGCACAAGAACATTCAAATAAATCAACTATTGATTCTTCTCGTCTTCGATAAATAATTTTGTTTTTTTTTTGCAATTTTTGTCCCGAGTGTTCATAAACGCGTGGTGATCCTTTTAATTTGTTACTTTACATGCTGGTGTCGACTCATAACTGTAGCCTTAACAACTACTCGTCTAATCAATTGTCGTACAATTGATATAAAGTCAACATGACCCTTTACAATTAAACAAACATGATGCAAAAAATAAATAAAAAAATTGTAAGCGTCTGTTGCAAGCAATTTATTGTGTCATTTTTGATGAAAGGCTTATTTACTTGATTAACGCATTTTACTTTTTTTAGATCCAGACATATTGTTACTAATTATATTAATATGTGTAGAAGGACATATGGAAATACACGCTATCGTCCGCTACTCTGTCTGCGCGGTAGTCAAAAAACTAAATTGTGTTCTTCCAGATGATGTTCTACATCTAAGCCAAGATTAGCGAGATCCATACATATAGTCGTGTTAGAGATACCTTCAAACAAATATCCATCCATCCAAATAGTCAAATTTAAATATGTATAATGAAAGATCACGATATGTTTTACCAATTTCTGATTTAAGAGTTTTAATAAATAATTATATCTTCAGGATGTTTTGCTGTTAATGATTTACAAATTTAAATAAAGAAAGATAACAAATATAAGACAAGGAATGTAAAACCATAGATTTTATACTTTTATCATGTAGATAAATAATAAACATATAGCTTAGACATTCAGAATACCTTATAATGAGGAGGGACGGACTGAATGAAATAAGGTACTCTTGCAGCCACACATTCAATAAGGTAATTCAATTTCAGTACTGGGGCGGAGTTCGGTGACATCTAAATCGTCTATTCCGGTTGCTTATTAAAAATTGTACCCAATGCAGGGATATAGGTTACCTATAGTTTTCAAACAGCTCTATAAATTTCAATTTACGCATACTTTCTTTTTTCATATAAATTCTAAGAACATTTTCTTATTATTTTTAAAAATATAAAGTACTCAAGCTCGTAACTTTTACGGATTTTACATAACGATGTCAAGTCTCCACTTTGTCGCTCATTAACTTACGAAAATGTGCTTTGATGTTAGCTAACATTCGGAGGCTTTTTATTCAGTTACGCCTACGTAGCTACGTAAGCGACGGACTCGTAGACCCAACGTCGTGGAAACAATAATGTAACCGTAAACGAGTTTGGTTCATAAAATCGACTAATGTTTGAGAGTCATGCTAAGTGCCTCAAAAATAGGAAAAATAATAAGTTTTAATTAAGAATTAACTGTGGGTTTCTGAGACTAAAATTTCTGTTTTATCCACGATAATGATGATAAGTTTCACATGAAGTTTTTGGTCTCATAAAACAGCTGTAGGTATAGATCATAGACGGTAAAGTAGTAGACAACTGCTTTTCAAAGAATCAAGTGGATTAAAAAAAGGGTTTAGAAGTATGCCTATTGCGATGTACCGACAACGCGTGTAATGCTAGTGGGGAATATCTCAACAAAGTTGCTGGATACTAATGGCTCAAGTGGATGATATGAATCGTAGGTGGCGGAGGGTTACCAAGAATAGATTATGTTAACGAGAGCGAATGAGTCTCGAAGAGAGTTCTTTACAGTGTTCTATTGTACCAGACTTGATGTCTATCTATACACGTGCCATCAGGATGAAATAAAGCGAACGATCCTTGTGTTACCGAAATTAGAAACATATGCCTATGTTTGTTGACACGTGGCATAAATATAAAAGATAAATTTTAATGGTTAAAATATACTCCAAATCGTATAATACTACCCAAAAAATAATATTTTAATTTTCTCAAGGATATGCTCAAACAAGAAGTAATTAATTTAGTTTTATTCAAAAAGTTTCATTTGATAAGCAAAACTAATTAAAAGCTAATGCTATTGCTTATTCAAATTTGTTCGCATTGAATGACTCAAACTATTGTATACCTACCATATTTTACTTCTTAACATTTCATTTAAACTTTCATGTTTTAATTAAAAATTTTCATTAACTTCATTTAAAACGAAGGCTAAACTGTCATGTCTTAATTATATAAAGTGATTTGCATCTCAATTTAAAGTAGTATTTTTGGTTTTTAATGAAATTTCATCATTATTTGAATAGTGCCTGGTGTTAATTTGTGTAAAGCTAATAAGTCCAAATGTAAGAAAACTAGAAGAATGTAAGTCTGCAATATTTGACAGAAGCCATAAAAGTGTAGCCGCAATTTACATAGCTTCCTTTTGCGACAACGATACTCGATAAGAAAATTGTTTCTGAGAAGTGTAGATAGATTTTTCTTGTACAGTGACCACACTAGATGTTTTTAAAGATATTATTGTTAACTGAAAGATCATTGTCATCGTAAGTGTAACATATTTTGAGGAATTTAAAGGCTATTACGAAATAATAAAACGGAATGATTGAACTATTTTCAGTTTTACGGCCGTTTCTTTTATTTTTGGATGACGTAACACAAATTCAATAAATACAATCGAAACGGCGTACTCCTTTGTGACTAGGGTGCACATGAGAGAGGGAAATGTTTTCCTGTCCGAGGAAATAAAAGCAAAAACGTATACCTACATTTCCTGGTCACAGTTCAGCGAAAAGCATTTAGTATCAATAGAGCCATCCAAGGGTTTATTATTGGAATATTGCACTAACGAGTAAGTATGTTAAACCTCATATGTTAAGCAAAAGTGTTATATAAAGTGATTGACATTGTTCAACGTTTAATTTTTTTGTCTTGTAAATTTTCGTTATTAAGCCAAAGCTTTTAAGAAGGGCTTTTAACTTAAAGCTAAAAAACTACTTTTGTAATTTTGCGTTGGTCCTAACTAAATCTAAAATCATATTTGTTTCTATTTAGTTATAAGAGACTAAAGAATATTTCATCAAAGAATAACAGCCCTTTTAAGTACAAGATAAAAACTTCAAAGCATAAAAAAATATCTACTAAACAATGTTACATGTTATAAAAAGCACTTTACGCCAAACTAGATTCGCAATAAAATAAAAAAAGCAGAATTTTATTATCATTTCTTACTCTTTTTGATTCATGAATTCATAAAAAATAATATTTGTAACTTCACACAAACAAATGACTCGTATTTCGCATACATCGATTGGAGCTAGTTACTAGTTACGTCATTTAGGGTTTCGGCGTCGCGCGGTCAATGACGTTTATGTAAAGACGTGGAACTGAGCACTGTTAGAACAACGGGCTGTGTTGCCGCCGTCGACAAAACCACTGCAGTCAAACCGACTACGTGCCTTCTTAACCGCATGCGCGTCCCTAGCACCCCAAACTCTACGTGCCCATTATAAAAATTTTCCCGTTGTTTTAAGTGACCCCATTTTATCTAATGAATCACCCTCATTTAATATATTATTAGTACGATGATAGCGAGTGTATCTACGAATTATATTTTTGAATTTATTATAAAAGTGTAGAACTTGAATAAAAAGTTAACGTGTATCTTCTTATTTTTGTTTACACCGTACAGTATGCTTAAAAGTATATAGTCTTAAAAATTTAAATGGCCTGGTGAAAGTGGCGATGTGATCGCTATTAGTTTTGTCAGAAAATAGAATTAAGCATAGAAACAAAGGCTACTTAAGTGTTTTCTACCGTGCCGCATAAGTTTGCCACACTATAAAAAAACGTTAGTTTAAATTCCATAGATAACGATATAATATTCCTTGAACATTAAATGAATCATGAATTCTTCTTGAAATTATTAAAAAAAAAATTTACTGTTTGTGACAATGTCACAAAATATGGCAGCTGTTGTCACTGACGAGAAGATGACTTAAAGCTTTTTCAGAGCTGTTTGTTTTTTATAATATTTATTTTTTAAAACTTTTTTACATAATCGTCAGTGTTATCAAAAAGAATACTTAAGATAATGTTTACCAAAAACTAGAGTTTTTATATTTATTTTGTGTATAACAAGGGAGAAGACAGCATCACAAAATGTTTATTTACGAGTTTATGTCCGGGATCGTTGAAACGATCACCGGAAGCAGTAAGTGTATAAAAATACATAGAACAAATTATAATAAAAGGGTATAAATAGCCTCTTTTAATTGGATCAAATTTCACTAAGATCTGTATCGTAGTATCAGAATTCAGTTACGCAATGTAACTATGTCCAGAAATTCAAGAACATTGATAGTAAGAGACTTTTACATTAATAGTAAATAAATTTATTTATTAACCGGTCTAAACGAATTTTTACAGCTGAGGAAGGGGATTTTGATCCTCACCAACATAGAAAAATAGAAAAGCCTACGACGTAAGTTTACTATTTAATTATAACATCTCATACGAAGTGAATTCAGATTACTGTACTGAATGTTAAAGTTACTAATGATATGAACGTGTAAATAAAGAAAAGTTACCTTCCTGTAATTGATAGGTATTTATAAAAACAGATTCACTGATCTCTATTAAATAGACAGGCTATAAGCCGTGGTATTTTGTGCCTGTTTGATTTTTGTCATTTTGACTCTAATGGTTGCGGTTGGTTGATGATTAGAACTAATAATAGAGCTAGAATTAACTTTCAGGAATATAAATAGGTAATTTAAGTCCAAACAAAGCTAAAAGTGTCATATACAACCAATGACTTAGATTTTACTTCCAACCAATGATCATCTAGAGATAAGTTGAACAGATTGCTTTCATAAATTATTCTATTATTTATCTTTATTAGGTATTCAGAGACAATGATTCATATGTTGAAAGGAAGTATCGGAGCTGGTATACTAGCCATGCCGTCTGCTGTCCAGCGCCTGGGCATCATTGTGAGCATCATAGGTCTTACACTCATCGGATTTTTGGCTACTTATTGTATACTTCTATTGGTTAGTATATTGTTCCCAGAAACGTATTTTTAAAGGTTAAGTCTGCAACCCTTTTTTGATTTTTTTCAGTAGGACTATTGCTAGACAAAGATAATTAGGCCACATTATTGGGATATAAATAGAAATTTCCTCACATTTAATATGGATTGAGCTCACAAAATATGAAGTTTTCGTAATCTGCATGCAGTTTCCTGCAACTTAGATCTAACAAGGCGACCGTTATCATTTAAACGCCGCGCAAAATTTTAATAAATATAGCCTTTGTCACCCGGGGATAGTTTAGGTTCAAGCATTGAAACAATTTTTCAAATCGATTTAGTAGTTAATTGTTAACTAACAAAAAAACAAACAAATCACAATTTTGTGGACATCTTGATAAGAAGGTTATGTGTGATATTCTTCACGGTTTTCGTAAAGTGGCTTCATTTAGAAATGGACAGCGTTTATTGTAATAAATCATTCATGACGTTTCTATTGATTTTAACAATTTTCTGTACAGATTGAAGCACAGTACGAGCTATGCAAGCGATGGCGGCGGGGATACATTGCCTATCCAAAGTCTATGATGCTAGCTGTCCGAGACGGACCTCCCGGACTTCGCTGGTCCGCTATGACACTTTACTACTTCGTCGAAATTGTTCTCATCTTTTGGCAGCTGGGCATTTGCGTTATTTTCTTCGTGTTTGTTGCAGAAAATGTCAAACAAGTAATATTATTTAAATGATTTTGCCCTCTCACCTATTTATAATATATTATTTTTTTCTAAAATCTAATATTAAGAAAGCCCCTCGGAAAGTCGTGCATTTTACGTTAAACTATCTTAGTTGAATATGAAAGTTTTATAACGTTTCCAGATATGCGATTTCCATGGTTACGAAGCATCTCTGAGACTACATCTTTGTTTTGTGTTGGTACCAACGATACTGTTGAATCTTGTGAAAGATCTCAAGCTAATGACTCCGCTCTCGTCGATTTCAAATATAGTAACAATATTCGGACTGATCTTGGTGTTCTTCTACTTGATAGAGGATGACATGGTTTTGGACAGTGAAAAGTTACGTTTAAAAAAATTCGACGATATACCTATATTTATAGGAACAGCTCTGTTTGCACTTGAAGCAGTTGGTGTGGTTTGTATCATTTGAATACTGTGTAATTGGTGTGTAGAGTTGTGTAGTAAAGTAAAACATCAGATTCAAAGATATGTGTGAAGTCAAACCGCACTGGGCCAGTGTGGTTGACTATGGCCTAGTAAATCCTAAATTAGGGTAGGTTGCGAGCCCCTTAGTGGGGACGTATAGTGAGCTGCTGATGATGAATGTGTAATTGATGTAAATTATATTTTAATAGACAGATATCTATAATTTCAGATTCTCGCCTTAGAATATAATATGGAGGAACCGAAACGGTTCGTAGGTATGTTAGGACTTTACAGCGTAGGCATGATTACTATAATAACACTCTATTTGATTGTCGGTGTATTTGGTTATCTTAAATATGGAGAGGAGATTAAAGCTACGATTACATTAAATTTGCCACAAGAACAAAAGTAAGTTGGCTGTGATATTTGTTTTTCATACAAGGTTAGTTTTTAATTATAAGTTTATAATACTATGATCATCTAAATGGTAATTGTTTTATACCTATTCGTTTATATTTTCATCGGTGTTTTCTCTTTAAACTTAGAAGGATTAATGATACTTTGTTTTGTCTTTACAGAAAAGCGCAAGCAGCAAAGCTTATATTTGCTTTGGCAATATTCCTAACATTTCCTCTACAAAACTATGTTGCGTACAACATGGTTTGGAGACGGGCAAAGAAGAGGCTTCCAGAAAGTAAACACTTCGTCACTGACTACTGTTTGCGGATTATTTTAGTTATTATACCTTGTGCGTATCAAATTAGTATTTATACACTAGCTGTCGCCCGCGACTCCGTCCGTGCGAATTAAAAAGAAAACTAGTTTCCGGCAATTATGCGAATTTTTCTCACCTTTTAAACCTTCTCTAGACCTCCATGGACATTTCAAGATCAAGATAAGATAAATCTGATCAGCCGTGCTCGAGTTTTAGAATGTTGAATGGAGACTAATTAGATTCGATCATGTTAACGTTTAAACATAATATGCTTCAAAGTGTTATTAAATTCCTAGATATAATAACTAGTTTTTGCCCACGACTTCATTTGCGCAGAATAAAAAAAGGTTGAAAAGTATCTCATGTGTTATTCAAATCTATGCTTTGGAAACCAATTTTTATATTTTTGTCTGTCCTTTCTGTCTGTCCTCAAAACCGCGTTTGATCTCTGAAACGACTGGATCACTTTTGACGGGACTTGGATGATAAGGTAGCTGATACACGGCGGCACATTATAGGCTACTTTTTAAATTCTGCATTGACGAAGCCGCGGGCGATCGCTGGTTTATAATATTAGTAAGATGTCATAATTTATGTTTCAGGGTTACTTGCAGTGGCGGTACCTCACCTGGGTCCCTTTATATCTTTGTTCGGTGCATTCTGTCTATCATTACTGGGTATTATCTTCCCCGGATTGATGGATCTTTGTTTATGGTACCCTGATAATTATGGAGTACTTCATTATAAATGTATACGCGATGTTTTTATCATGGTAATCGGTATTGCATGCCTCCTTTCTGGATGTTATACAAGTGTGTTAGAAATTATACAAGATTTTTAATATCACAAGGATTGTATTACCTCGTTTTGTTCATAAAGTCATCACAATAAGGGTTATCGAATCTACATTATGTTTGTTCTTCGATGTCTATTAGTGTAACAAATATTTTACATAATAAACATCATGATATATTTCTTTATTTTATTACATACGACACGACAGACCGCCAGGTTTCATCCACACCACCTGGAAGGCTGGCATTCCAGAACGGTGCGATTCTCGCGCAATTTCTTGTCTCGCACAGCGTTGTGGAACGGTCCTTCAAGAAGCGAGCAATAATTTCCTTAAAGGCCGGCAACGCATCTGCAGTTCCTCTGGTGTTGCAGATGTTCATGGGTGTCGTTGATCACCTCGGTGTTCCCGCCGCTCTTTTGCCTCTTCTCTTAAAAAAAACATTTCAAGGTATGGTAAGCGAGAGTTTGCAAACTTTACTTTTTTATCAAAATGTTCGATATAAAAATTCAGTTTTGACGTTCTCATATTTGAGAGTTTTGATCAATAGCTTTATTAATGTAAAGCATGTTTGATCGTTTAATGGACGATCTTTCAAAGTGACAGTTAGGGATCTGACATTATTGGCTTAAAAAGAGATACCATAATTCTATTTCTAGGATTGCCATTTTATAACCTTAAAAAAGATATCGTAGATTGTAGATAATATAATAAATTAAGTGTGTAACTCTTAAGCATATTTTAATGAAATAGAAATACATATTGTATTTAAATTCTCCAAAACTGTGTAGGTGGTAGCTCTGACAGTTTTTACGTCTGTATATTTTAATATCAATAAAAAGTTTTTATTATACTATATGCTATTTGACATACGACATGTCGGCTATTTTTCATTTCTCGTATCCGTGGATATACTTTTTTGATTAGTATATATGATACATTTAAGAAGTTAAATTTACTAATGTTTGATTAACTCCTTTCAATAATAATAAATGTAACCAAATTTCAACAATGCGGAATGAAGAGTTTTTGTGAGTATGCTTACGTTGGATTCATCTGAACCCCACTTATTACGTTACTGAGAGTAGTATCCTAGTGGTAAATTACCGTACTAGATTTTTCATACCTTAAAGTGTCTCTTTAGTAAAAGTGGAACGACAGTAACTGCTGCAAATATTAGTCAACTTTTCTGTAATTACTTTTAGACTTTTTAGATTCATAGCGGGCATACACAGACTGGGTCGAGAATTCAGTGGTCATTTAAATACTGAGGAATCGTCTTTAAATCTCTTGGTGTTTGCTACAAACGGCCTCAATTAAAAAACACCCAACAGCTCACTGGTAAAAAGAGAGAACACCATACAAAAACAAGCAAACAGATATCCAAATATACATTGGTTGTTGTCAAACATGAGGGGCCTGTTATAGACCACCTGAATAGCATATAAAAGATGTTCTTATAATGTTTCTTATCATTTATAAATATTCAGAGTTTTTTTTTCAGATACGTTGGGATGTCTCGTTTTTCAGCACTTGATAATAATACACCAGCGCGTCGCAGTTTGGTCTCTTGCCTAATACAATGTATCTTATCTTTTTGTTTTAATTGCTACATACATTTTTTATTATAAATGTCATGAGTGGACACCATAAGTGTCGTTTTTGGATGGCCTTGGAAAAGGAGTTTAGAGACTGTCGGATGATAATAATGATGATGATAAATAAATAAATACCTCTTCTTTCTAAAATATATTCTCCACCTATCATTTATGCGGAATAATTTTATACTGTTTTTATTGTTTTTTAGTTAACAATGACGTTGGGCGACGCTTACGTACACGGTGCACTATATCTCGGTAAGGAGAATTCGATTATTTACGATAGCATAAACAAGAATTTGTTTTTCAGTCTTTGTAGGACAACAATAGAATTTTGAAGCCATGGAAGCTGTGTTACTTTGTCCCAGCGATGTCGTAAAATTTGGATACACCGTAGAAAATCAAAACTTTACTTCTTTTTCGTAGTTGCGATGTCTTCATCATTCGTGTGGCATTGGCTTTTATGGTGCAAGATTTTAAAACATCTGTTTTTTTAGATCCCGAAGATCAACTTCAAACAGTCCAATAAAAAATAATGCCCAGCAAAGGTCGCGTTCCCCTTGGTATGGGAGCATTCACTCGCCGCCACTTTGTAACTCCCCGACACGTTATCCTACTCGCTTATATTCGCGGTAATTGTCCTAATTATAAAATAGTTTATGGTATAATATAGCTATATATACTTCAATTTTACATTTGTAGTTGGCAACCCACTAACGTGATAAAACAACTCCTACATAATTAGAAAAATCCGATTGTCTATAAAAAAAGTGTGCAAAAAACCCATCCCTAGCTATAATTCATACATTATTTTATACACAAATTTAAATGGGTTTCTCATTTATCAGATCCCGGAATGACTTAGGAGATGGTTTATCCGAAAATTTTGCGCAAGAACCAGTGCAACCTAAAGCGTACTTCTCATCAAAACCACCTTCAGAACCTGTTCAAGTTATTATAGAGCCACGCATTATGAATGATTTAGATTATAAATTTAATTCATCAACATCATATGAGTCTCGATGTGAATTTAACGTTACATCATCCTTGAGCACTCTCGCAGAGGTAACAATTATATTTGGATCACTAAATACAATCAGTTTATACATTATAATTAAAGAGCGTCGGTGGCTCAATGCCGAAACTCTTGACTTGTAATCTACAGGTCCTAAGTTTGAATCCCGGCATGTAACAACGTGTTTTTCAATTTTCGATTTACATAAATAAACCCAACGTTCTTACGGTGAAGGAGAAAATCGTTATGCATCCTGCACATATCTGAGAAGAAAATCAAATATATAATATGTGTGTAGTCAACCCGAACTCGTCCAACGTGGTTGTCAATGGCCTATTCACCCCTAATTTGGGTAAGCTCTGAGCCACTCAGTGGGGACGCAGTGAGCTGATGATGAATTAACGGTGTAATTGTTACTTGCTTATGGCCAAGATATCCAATTTTGTTTTACTATTGCGTGACAAAGTTTATTGTTATTTCAGCGTCCGTCATGTCCCAACTCGTTTGCGGTAGTTGGTAAAATACTAAGTTCATTGCTGTCAACATTACCTCTAGTTGATTCTCCTTCAGAAGTATCCACATACCACTTTGTATCACAATATTATGATAATAAGTAAGTTTGCTTTATTAATTCAACTCTACAATTCTTAATTCTACTTTTGATTTATATTCGGTTTGAAGGGCAAAAACTGTTGTGCCAATACTTATATAGACAGAAAATGATGATTTTTAATAAAATCGGTAAAAGGTAGCCGTAAAACATAGTGTCATCTCTTTCCTTCTTCTTGCAAAGAAATGTTAACAATATGACTTAAGGAAATTTTTACCACTGAATTGTTACGATTTCCTTCTTACGATAATTCTCTACCCATTTCATTCTTGTTAGTAAAAATGTGTAATTATGCAGATCTCTTGTGCGGTCAGAACCTGAACAACGAAGCGTAGCTATCCAAGTCGCCAAGTCTTCCATGTATGTTATCTATTAGTAATACTATAGATTATAAATATAGTCATTAAAAAAAACTTTATTATTGCCTATTTTGGGTATATCGCTGTTATTAAGGTATTAAGGTAGACATATTATGACTACAATGAGCTACTGCTGACTTTGATCGAATTTTTTTGGAATCTTTTTCATCATTCCAAATATTTATTTCAACACAGTTTATACTTTAAATAAGTAAATAATTAATACTTGGAAAATATTTTCAGGACAGTATCCGTAGGGAATTGTAGCGAATATTGCGATGAGAAAGGTAATTTTATGCATTTATTAGTTACTAGCTGTCGCTTGGGATTCCGTCCGCTTGGAATTAAAAAAAAACTTAATTAGTAGCCTATAATTTCTTCCAGAATATGTTCTATATGTGTGTCGTGTCAAATTCCATCAAAATCTGTTGGACCGTTCTGGAAATACCTGCAAAGAAACATCCATCCATCTAAACTTTCGCATTTATAATTTTAATAAGATTAGATCATCTCATTATGTCGTGAAACTAGTTTTTAAAGCTATTGCAGACTTTTTTATATCATAAGGTGGCAAACGAGCGAGCGGCCACCAGAAATCGCTGAAATAGCGAAGTGACCGTTGCCCATAGACATACGCAATTGCATAGGCGTTGCCTACCTTTAATTGACTTTAGGAGAGGATGCACAGAAAGAAAATATTTTCCCTTTCCATGCATCCTCTCATCCGGAAAGTCCACTTCCACTTCCCATCGTTTCCTTATAAGAAAAAGGGTGGGAAGGGAAAGAGAACTAAATTAGGCCTCCGGGACGCAAGACTATCGTAGTTCTTCTTTTGTTCGCTAATGTAATTACAATAATTCTATGTCATGCGGTTATTATATTACTAGGTTACTAAATACAATATTTAAAATGCATATCATATTTGTGATTTTTAAAAGTAATCAGTAAATCACATTTCAAAATGTTTAAACAAACTTGTAATGGGATTTTAGACACTATTCAAACTTATAACTATTCCTTCTCACTTTTATTATAATTATGTATGTTCCCTGTTTATAGAAATACTAAAAAACACCTTCACAGCTATTCTGACCTAAGCTACGAGTGAGTGGTACTTGTTACACAAACGTTATGCAGGACACACACGTTAGGTTGTGTTTTGTGCAGTAGATCAAATCGACTTGCAGAACCTTACGTGTGTGACCCGTAATTTTTGTTTATTATATAGGTATTGTACAGAAGAAGGTTCTAAGTAAGAAAAGATGGATGGGAAGCATGCGCGCGCTACGCGAATCTCACCTGCGTTTAATGATGCGTCAAATTCGCCAATTGCGGCAAATTGAGCGATTGGACCGCTCCTTGAAACGGGTCTGTTCGGTACGAGTGCCTTATGATAGTGATCTCACATAAACATGAAAGCTTATAAAAGCGCTCGGAAAACGACGAAAGCTTATGACTAATTTTAAATATTTTCCAAATTATTTTTTAGTGTGCTGTTGATTAAATTTGATAAAAAAGTTGATCGTTCACCGGGAGCTTTATTTATCTAAAAACAATGGAAATTAATTAAAAAAAATGAAATAAAGATTTTTTTTCCAAAATTTGTTTTAATAGAAATCCTCTGATTTATTGGTTATTTTTTTCAATTTGCTTTTCCTGTCGTGTGTTACGTAATTGTTACGATTCGTCGGAAATTGAAACTTTTGAATATTAATATTATAAATCATTAATATCGATTATTAAATTTAATTTCGCTAATTAAAATAAAAGGGAAAAATCCTCATCAATTAAAAAAAATATATTACCATAAACATGACTTTGACATATTGAAATGACATAAAAAATCAATATTGAAATTGCTCGCTTAACTAAACATAAATTTATCTTAAACATGAGTACGTGGCGCTTAGCTGGATTGAAGTAAGTATATATGTATAACACTTTTTTACAATGAAAGAACTAATCGAGATATCAATAGTTATTACAACTACGAATGGAATGGAATCTCACTGTTCAAAATCAACACAACAATGTTTTATGCATGTACTAAGGGAAACCTCTTGGATCTTCTTAATACCTATATTACTAACAAACAAGATTATACCCAGTGGGCCCAGCACGAGCATTTGCGACAAGCGCCTTTGTATCATTATCGTCAATTTTGTCAAAATTAGTATTAGATTTTTGATATAAACTTTATATAGAACTGTTATGAAATGCCATTCAACTTATTTACGGAGTAAACTATCTTGGAATTGTTATTCTATAATTTAAAAGAGTGGATGAACGTTTAAACCTACAAAAATTCTTATATTATTGTTTCTTTTAACCTGTGAAATGTGAAATGTTTGATATTATATTTTATTATCCTACAAAATTACAAATAATGTAATGACACGTTTTAACAACTTTCAACCACACATTTCTAGCTAACGGCTCAGTTTGGGCGTCTACTTTTTCATGATGCATTAAAAGAAACAATTATATAAACCGACAAGGTTATTTTATCCGGTGGGCATAAGTCAAATTAAATTATAAAAGCTCAATGAGGCCTTCTATCAATGTCAAAAAAGTGTCACAAGATCCATTACGTACTCTATAGATCGAAAAAGTTATCTGTCCCGGTGGGCTTAAGTCAAACTAAATTACGACAGCTAACTATTCGCCTACTTCAATGTCAAATAAGTGTAAGTTTTTACTATTACGTTATTATCTATGCCTAAAAGATGGTCCATTTTAATAAATAACATTTGATACTTCATAAAAACGTACAAAAACCTTGTCACTTTTTGACATTGACATGGCTACAAGTTTTGAGGGTTACCAGTAAGTAAAAATTTTCTAACTTTCCAAAATAGTTTATATTACAACTCTAAGCAATTGATTGTAATCTGAGTTCTCTTAACTTATATTTAAATATCAACGAAATTATCCTAAATATCATAACATCATGCATCAGCTGGGGGGTGAAGCACTCGACTTGTAATCTGCAGGTCCTGTGTTCGAATCCCAGCGAGTACCAATCTGTTTTTCGATTTACTTAGTACATTTATCAGATGTTCTTACGATGAAGGAAAAAATCGTTAAGTCGCGTAGTTGACTGTGGTCTGGTCTGACTCCTTACTTAGGGTGGGCTGCGAGCCCCCAGAAGGGGTCACGGACGAGAGCGAAGGCGTGCCCTTGGTCCCATCCTGATGCGTTAGAGGAACAGAGGGGTTTAGTGGGTATGCTTCCCATCCGGAAGAGAATCTGACATAACTCCGGGACCCCCGCCGGGGCACGGAGTATGCATAAAGCATTCCCCTATGAAAAAAAAAGACTCCGAGCGCTCAGTGAGGACTTATAGTGCGTTGATGTCAAAGTTTTCCTTAAAATTTTGTTAATTTGCAGTTATATAAATTATTCCAATATAGCAGCGAAGGTGTTGCGAATGTCTTTGAAAGCAGATCTCAAACAGGACGCTTTGAAACGCGATCAATCCTTTATTAAGTTAACATATTGGAGTAAAGGGGAACCATTACGTAAGTGCAAATCTAAAACCATAGTCGTACCTAAATAGAATTTAATATGTAATAAAAAATTTATTTTATTTCAGCTGACGGTAAGAAAATGGAAAAAGAAGTTGAAAAAGCTTAACATATTAAATAAATTATTTAAAGTCTAATAATATAAGAAATTAATATATTGTTCCAATGACTTATTAAAATACAGAAATTTAGTACAATACCAATCGTTTTATTTTTGTTATCATGTCACAAAGGAGTCCAAAATCTGTCGACTTTATCTTGATGGTTGAAATTGAATTACCATACAGTTTTCG